CATATTTTCGGCAGAGATCCGAGGACTTGGTAGCGAGAAATTGTGATAAAGCTAGGTATCATAACACCCTTATGCGGTATCATGGTGAGAACGACCCAAGCCAAATTGTTGATTGAATCAGGCAATACTGCTTTTGTATTAGCCGGGCTCGGGGAAGAGAGACGGCGTTGTAATAAGTCGGGTGTCCTGAATCTCGGTCAATGCTGTGCTAAGAAAGGAACAAGGTAGATGGGGTGGGTGAAGTCTGGAAGCAGAAGCCTAGATAGCTCAAAACCTCTCACACAGCATAGCTGGTGAGACCAACAAGTTGGAGGTTATCTTTCCTTCTCAGTATTTGCTAGATCCTAAGTTCCTGGTTGTGTTGGCTTTGGACGATTGGCCCATCCAGCCTGAGATATCTTGGGTTGTAATAGACAGGTTTCCCTCTACTCTCTGCCATTTGTGACTTCAAACACCAGGTAAGGACTTCGAAAACCGAAGGAGAAACTCTCTGGTCAACGTATCATACTCAGACGTCAGGCTCAGGAGAAGTCTTGGTCGAAGAAGCGCAACAAACTAGTCAGCCTTGCTGCTACTACCAAACAGCTCACCAAGCTCAGTACACAGAGTATACTTCATTCATTCCCGCATTAGTAGAGGTGCGTATGCATAATCAGGGAGTAAGCGGCAAGCGTCGATCCTGGCACTTGATGAAAAGCAATCGCACAGAACCGGCAAAACGGCAAGCAAACTTCGGCTCCCCACCACTGCAACTTACGTATATGAGTAAGCTCTCGAACAGAAATTGCGGAGTATCGGCCCGCTGTGTACAGCTGTCGGATGGTATTGTCTAAATGGACCATTAAGTTATGTGGAAAACATAGAAATAGCCATGACTCGAGACTAGACATGGTTGTGAAAGCTCTTGTGCAAGGTTACTTTATGATGCTTCGTCCCGATCACGAACGTTCTCTCCGAGTTTCTCTGACCTGGACCATCAGAGGAAAGCTGTGGTTCGTTCAATTTCCCGACGGGAAAGATGCAGCTATGGTGTTGTGCCTTTGAAAGGCCCAGCGTCAGGTATTGGGAGTAACAACAGTAGCCAATCTCCCAGAGCTCATGCAGCCATGGTTCGGATTCCAAAAATCGAGAGATGCAGCGCCTGCTGAGTGGGTTTTGGAGTTGGCGGGACGTGTTAGGCAGAAGTTGGTCCGTCTTTCCAGATTCTGTACTGCAGCCATTGGCTCTTCCAAGAACCAGAAAAATGTCGTATTTCTTTTTGATCACACTCCAGAGTCTTTTAGATTGACTGGCGTCTGTTTGCTTGATGCTGGATCCTTGATGGTTCCACTTTGGATCACGACTTGGACAAACCCATCATCCTCAATCAAACCCATGTCTCGCTTTCCAAACAGCAGGTAACTGGGGAGGAGGAGGCTGCAAAGGAGAGGAGTCGCTGAAGTATCGAGGTCAAACGCACCCGATCGGACTGGGCTGACGGTGGTGGAGTGATGTTCCGAGGTTGCGACAGCAGGTGCAGGAGAACAATGCACGCAGCTCGACGTCAGGGAGAGCGGGCCAGTGGTGCCGGCGAATCGAGGGATTGTTGTCTGGATCATCAGTCGTTCTGTAGCTCGAATTAGAAGAAATTTAGGTTGAATAGCGCAAGAGAAAATAAGAGCCCCCGCATCGACAGGCGCAGGTAGAGCCGCATAAGTCAAATGAGGCAGGAGGTTGTGGTCCAATGGTGAAAATCATGGTGGATGTGAAAGTGACTGCTGAACGAGGGAAGTGGCATTGTAGTTGCAGATGGGACAGGCCCAGGACAACTGTCTTCCTGTTAGTCACCCTTGATAGCCTAGCAAGCTAACTTAGTTCTTGGGAAGGCCGATGAATACCTTCCTCCCTCTAATACCTCCTTCCATTGACTAGTTACGGTAACACCCACCAAGCCCCCTCGTCTGGCTGTGCCGGCTGGAAACCATCTTCAGCTCTTACCAAAGCCCTTTACGAGGCTTATTGACAGTCACCGAACCTCGAGCCCAATGAGTCGTTAGTCCGTATTTGAGTAACTCTGAAGGAGACCGACCGATGCCCGGCCTTTCCCCTTGGGCACACAGCACACAACCAAAGTCGGCGGAAGCCCCACGGCATCCCAACTCCCCCCAGTGTCCACTGTTGAAAAGCGCGAATAGGAGGGAACCATGCGTCTGATCCTTCATCTGTAGGCAATGCCTGACTGCATGCCCTTGCAGTTTGGTCACTGACGTCGCAGCTCGTATACTCAGAGTGCATCGTGGCTGTGTCGATGGTTCTGCGAATAGTTACAGAACACCCGGCATCCGCGGTAGCCCGTCTGCACCCTCTCCTGCTACCTCCTGTGCCCAAGCTGCGTCCATGTGCTCCGTATCTCCTAAAAAGAAAGCACACCGCGGAAGCGTCACTAGGATTGCTGGTCGAGGAAGTTGTCTATCTCAGCACCCACTGATGCAAATCCATCCAATCGGCTGGCCACGTCAAGTAACTTGCTCGTTGCCTGTCGCCATCATCCATTGGACGTGGCAGAAATACGTCGTTAACAACTCTCCCTCGTATTGACTGCAGATTCGGTTAGCATTGGGTTGGCTCTGTAAACCACACCATTGGTTCCAAGAGCTTTGCCAGCATCTGGGCTCAGACAGAGTTCACTTGAGTATGAGTCGCATGACATATACCAAAACCTTCGGGAATTCATATGCTCGGGAGACGGATGATCTCAAGGGTCCTCGGTTTTCCAATTCCGCAGTAAACATCCGAGCTCGGAATTCAAATCAGCATACTCGGTATATACATTATCAGCTGGAGCAACACCATGTTCTTCACAAGCCGAAGGGGAAGGCACAGAAGCTTTGATTCGCTATATTCTTTGAAGTCTAGTATTCTGGGGGGCAGCAGAAAAGAAAAGCAACGAAAAAAACACAATCAATCAGGTCGGCCATTTGAACCTCGATAGACAAATACCTTCTCGCAATGGTTTACCTAGCCCGCGGCCCCAGAAGGGACAAATCATCCTAGCCTGTGAGCGGCAGATAAGTCTCTTACCGTCCGAGTACCGCCATTGGGTGGTCCGGGCGGACTGCCCAGTCATCTTTCTGTACCGCATCCACAGGCATTGGACAAACACCCTGGCTGCCTGGGAAATGGGGATCGGCGGTGCAGCATCCTCGCGTATGCCGAGCAGAGGTCACAGGGAGTCCTGCGTGGCCTGCGTAGCGTGTGGGGTGGTAAACATGGTGTCGAGTGTCATTCGCTACCACGTTTGAACCTGCTGAATGCTTGCAGACGAGTACGTCCCGAATGTGATGCCTTACTGTCTGTCGAATCTTTCGTCCATGTGCATCCTGGTCGGCCCGCCCCTGCCATCGTCCGATGCAATGCCATGTTAATCACGGTTTTCCATCTGATCTCGACATTCGGACCTTCTTGGTACAGTTGGGGCGGATGAATCTGGATGAGGGTCAAAACCCCCATGGCAGCTTTTTCGTCTTTACATGGAAAAAACACGGCGAAAACCCAGGCTGACCTGCTAGCCACGATCTCGGGGTCGACAGTGTTATCACACGCAGGGAAACAGATTGTCGAGGCATGATCGATCTTCGGTTTGCCCCTCCCAAAAAGGCTGCGCGCATTAGCTTTGTTGTGATAACTTTTGGGCGAGTTTGGGCTGGTGGTGGAATCGGTGGCTGAACCATTTGGCAACACACCTCCAAGCCTCGCACCTATGACCTTACCTCGGGCTCGTTGGAGGATAATCGCCCGATCGTAGAGCATCCATCCGACTCGCTATCCCAGATTTGAAAAAGGGTTCTGCGTGCTTGTACCCAACCAGGGCACAAAGCCCAGGAGGGCACAGTTCAGCATCCCCAACACACGTGCACACCTGTTCGCATTCCCACTCTCCGTCGTTACGAGCCACCACACCCCCGAATCCCAAAGTTTATGACCAGGTAAGTTTTGATGGCTTGCGAGAGCCAAACCCGAGGGCCTCGATAGAGTTCCAATGGTGGTTCGGAATTCACCCGGTCGGCGCAGCATGGAGCTGGACTGGAAATGCTCATCCAGCTGGGTCACCATCACATGTGTTTCAAGGGATTGCTGCATGATCCGAGAGTCGATACTAGCTTTTCCGGCCCTTCGCTACCAAATCTCGAAAAGCCGTTGGCTATCTGGGGGAAAAAGGAGCCGACACTGGGGGATAAAGAGGCATGCATGCATTTTGGTCAGCTTCTGGTTACCACGAGTTCTTCTACTCCGTCACATCACACGGCGTCCTGGTGGCCCTGCTCCGTCCTTGCCCCAGTCTTTCTGTTCACGAAAGTCTAAAATCCGAAAACTCAATCCCGACGCAAATCCACATCGAGGAGTAATGGGTCTTGACCGCCTATCGCGGCGCCATGATGAATTGCCCTGACAAGATAAAGGCCATTTTCAATCTTTTGGGATCCGTCCTCTGGGAAACCCGACTTCACCCCAGGTACCGAGTAAATAAATCGCTGCTACATACCCCGGTGTGCGTCCTGATGGTGGCACAGACGCATTCTGCTGAAGATCGCTTTGGGCAACATCAGGTCATGGTGCTCACCCCTCTCGTTCGTGGTCGAGTGGTAGTCCTTCACGTTGCATAATCGGACTCGACTCGACAGTTCACTTCATCTGTGCCTCTCTAGCCTATCAGACCGTGGCCCTTGAACAGGGCATGGTCACAGTGCACTTGTTGGGCGTTCTCTCGCTGTCTGTCAACCGAACGAGTATATTCTTCTCTGTACGACCATCCTTTCTGAGTCCTCGCTCGTCTCCAACCTTCCAAAGGATCAGGGCAGCGCCTCCGTGAGGCTTTGACCCGGCTTAAAAACCCGGGCGTTTGACTTTAACCTTGATGTGCTTCTTGAGACCGATACCACTTTTGACGTCAACGAGAACGCCTGTATAAGTTTCCTTATTACAGAAGCTATTATCCTTTCGACTGTGTCGCGCCACTGACGATGTCTCGGACACCTCAAATGACGGTTCGACAAGCACTCCAGATTGCTCAGACCAGTCAAACCGGTGACATGGATCCACAGGTTCTCCAGATTTTAGAGAACTACCTATATCGGCTCTGGACTCGCATTCAAGCAGAGCCGGATACCTATATCATGGATCAACTGGAATTCCCAGTCTTCAATCACTTTCGAGCACGCAGCGAATTTCAAAACGAGACAGCGAGGAAGGCAATCGGAAGATATTGGGACAACCGAACTCCCGGCGACGGTTCTTCAAATTCGGTACACCGTCACTAGCTCGAGAAGTGAAAGCAGCTCTAGTCGATGCTGTCTGAGGATCGGGTATGATTCTTACAATCATTCCTTTTCCTGGCGACTTCCACTTCCACTACCACTTGGTGGCCTTGTGGACACCCTAGAGAGTTCTGCAAATAAGCATCAACTCAGCTTTGCACAAAAGCAGGGTTTTTTCCAGGACATTTCTCGGCTTGCGAGATGCCTGTGCGTAATGATACCTGGGAATTGGGAGCGGTGGCCCATTCTTACGGAGGTGAGAGCCGTGGGTTACCGCTGTTACCGCTGTTATACGGGGGACTTTGGGAGGCGGGAGTGACATGATTGGATATTTCTACTCACAAACATGGTTCACGTGTCCCGGGAAGTCCTAAGCAGGAGGGAGAAAAAGGGCCTGCATCGCCCTCGTCAGCCTCAACAATCGCTTGTCACTATGGCCTGGACTCAGCAAAGCTATAATTCTTGACAGTCTTTCTATCTCTACAGATCGCAGCGCGCTGTCACCCGTTCTGAGAGGGAATTTAGGCATTTATGACTCTTTTGGAGTGAATGTATAAATGATGTATGGCGCTGCTCTTGTCCTTAAGGCCAATGGATCGCGAACAAGTTACCTGCAAAAAGTGGGAAGGGTCTTGCTGAGGGGGCAGCCTTAGCAGACAGGACATATCCTCAACCTCACCCAACCCGTCTCCTCGAGGCTTTTGACTCAGGTTATCATGTCAAAGAATGAGGGCTGTGACAAATGCTCTACCAGTCGAAACAGCGGCAGCAGCATGACAGGTAGGAAAATGTTGTCGAACCACATTCCAGTGCTAACATCGAATGCTTTCGAAGACCGTGCACCCACAACACCACCACTACCCTCGGTTATCTCGTCGAAGGATGTCTGATTCCTGCTCTCTGCCTACGACCTCTAATGAAGCTACATACAATGCTGTCCACAATACTTTTCACCTTCTTAGTCGCAGCGCCTGCTGTATGTAGGATAGCCGAGACCAGCAGACATGATGATCCGGCGCCGCATGGACTGGGAAGACTACTACACGCTCCTGGAAGACGCGATCATTCGCGCCGCGATGCTTCAAAGGTTCGCAGACACTACACATGTCATAGTTTGGCCCTCGCTAACAGGTCAACAGCTAGGATCACGACAGTCATCTCCTCCACTCACGACCGATCCAGACTGCACCTTGTATGACGGATATTTCTATGTCACTGCCCGAAACTATACTTGGCAGCTGCAGTGCTCCAACACCTACGATGGCGTTATCCTCGCTCAAACTACTGACACGACTGACTTGGGCTCCTGTATCCAAGAGTGTGTCAATTACAATCGCCAGAATACCCCGGGGGCTTGCTTAGCAGTCACCTTCAATGGTGCTTTTGCCACTGCGGATACTGTCTGCACCCAGTTCAGCGATGTTATATCGGTTGGAATCGCGTCTGAAGAAGGAGGTATGCATACTCGCTTCCTGCTAGTCACAGTGGAGATATTTGACACACACCCTCCAGCAGAGTGGTGATGTTGTTGGCAAAACCACTTTGCAATGGCAGTAGAGGTGCCGTCCGAGCTCAGGCTGATTGGGGAATCCAGGTTTCGTGAACTCAGCCCTGTTGATACTTGGTCCAGATGGAGAGATTTTCGCCACAGTAAGTTTTTGCGAAGGTGCAACTGTGGTTTGAAGAGCTTTGATCGAGCTTCACTTTCAATTCTGACCAAACATCAGCCAGAACCAGACCCATCATTCTCTGGAGCGCCCACCGGGCAGCCCACCGCAGACCCGTTACCTTCCTCGACCACAGCAAGTTCAACTGGAATCACCACGACAAGCACACTGATATTGACAACGAATTCTCGACCTGCGAGCACATCATATGCGATTTTCACCACCACGACCACTTCTACTAGTACGATCTTTGTCGCATCATGTACTGCTGGGACTGCTTCGTGTCAGCCTAGCACGACAATTTCTTCTTCTACACTGTCCTCTGCAGAAGGCCCAGGAATTTCCTCGAGCAGTCCTCAAACTACAAGCGCAACTTCCATAGATATCAGTGATGGAGGCTCCAAACCTGTCACAACTACAGGGCCAGTGACCACTAGCAGTTCATCAAGAGCCATCACATTCGACGCAGGTCTGACAACACTGACAACGGTTGTACCTTTTACCAAATATATGGTCCAAATCATTGAGGTCTGTGTGGCAACCCCAACCCCTTGCTCACAATCAACCAGTACGGCAACCAGCGTAGGATTCAGGACACAGATATCTTGCTCCCCGGGCCCTTGTATTGGTGTGGCTCCAGCCACAGGGTTTATGGTCGATGCTCTTGCAACGGGAACTTGTATTGTTCCTTGATGTCGTTACCTTGGCAGGTCGTCTGGTGAGAGCGATGGCATTTCTGGCGGCCGCGGTTGGTTTGATGGCGGACAGTCTGATTCTTGTATCTTTGAGCATTCAGCTGAATTTGTACCATGAAGTTATATGACACAATGTTAGTGGCTATAAGAGCTACACGTACTGTGTCTGGAGGAGCGGTAAAGGGGATTGTTGCGAGAGAGTTTCGGGGAAATCTTTAGTCATGAAATGGCGAATACGGATTCGGCGAGGCGGAACGGATAATAGTCGTGCCGAAGGTCTGCCGGGAGGGAAGAGGGTCCACATGATGATGCTGCATCTTCTTTGACGTTTCTTTCATTTCTCTTTCCCCTCCACAGATGCACAGACCTATACCATCACGATTGACTCTCTAGGCATAACTTGTCTCGTTACCGTGACTTATTCTCACATAGAACTCCTGCATAACAATGAGCGTCTACGCTATCGACAATTGTCACAGCCTTGGTGCCAAAAATATAAATCGCTATGTGACGTGAAGCGCAAGCGGACCCCTTCATTGTCCCGTTCACCTTTGTTCTCGTAGTAGTTGTCGGTAAGTGAAAGGTGACGAGGGCTCCGTTGTCTGCCACACCCTCAAGAGCTAGTAAACCTGCCACTTTACTTCTGATCAAGACAAGATTTATCTGCTCCTCCATCCTTCAGTCCTCACAAACTTTCTTCGGAACTTTTGTAGCCATCTTCCAGTCCGCAAAGATGACTTCTTCAGCTCTTTTCTCGCTTGCTCTTGCAGCACTCATCGCCTTTCTGAGGCTGGTGAACGCAGATTCCTCCTCAGCCTGCAATCCTTTGAACGGTCAGTAAACCTGGCGCCCAACTGATGTTTTGCTTCAACTTGCCATCTAACTACAAAATGTGTAGGCCCTTGCCCTGCGATTCCTGGGTTGTCAAATAGCGAGTATTTTGTTGATTTCACACAGCAAACCACAACACCTGCTGACTGGATTCTCGCCGACTATGCTACAGTTGGCTACGGTTCTCCTAACGGTGCCAACTTTACCTTCGCAAAACGATACGATGCACCGTATATTTGGACCCGCTTCTATGTTCTCTTCGGCCGCATCGAGGTGGTTGTCCAGGCCGCCCCTGGTGCTGGTATCATCACAAGTGCCGTCATGATGTCGGATGACTTGGACGAGATAGACTGGGAGTGGTCGGGAAACAACTTTGCCGGGTCCAGTGGTGCCGTGCAGACCAATTATTTTGGCAAAGGTCAGATTGGATATTCTGACCGCGGCTCGCAACCTGCCGTGGACGATCCTGAACACAAATTCCACACATACACCTTGGATTGGACACCGGAGAAATTGGTTTGGTCTATTGACGGCGTTGCCGTTAGGACGTTGAAAAACACTGGTGCCACGACTGGGTCATACCAATACCCCCAGACACCATCCCGGCTGCACCTAGGCCTGTGGTGCTCAGGTGACCCAAATACTGCTGCTGGTACTGTGCACTGGGGTGGAGGATACACCAACTTCAGCGCCGCGCCATTCTCAGCCTACGTGAAGTCTGTCAAGATTACGACGAGCAAAACTTGTTCAAGTTGGCAATATCCTAGCCCGTTCGATGGCACTTGGCAGTCTGTGCAATGCACCAACCAGACACTTGCACTCCCATGTACTTATACAGTCGCTGCTGGTGATGACGGCTCTAAGATTGCAAAGAATTTGACAGTCAATGTCGATACCCTCAAGGCAGCAAATCCGGGAGTCAACTGGGATCAGTTGATGGTGGGCCAAGTGCTCAATGTACCGGGTGGTACATGTCAAACTTTAACTACGACATCAATGAATTTAACTACGAGTCCTACTTCCTCAATCATTTCCACGACGTCCTTTTCTCCGACTGCTTTTGTCACGTCGAACTCGAGCAGCTCGCTGAGTGATTCATCTCTATACGCATCTTCAACATCAACATCATCCATGATGTCTTCCACACTTCCAATTTCAACTTCCTCGGGCACCATAGCTTCATCAATTACACAGCCAAGCTCTTCAAGTACGCTGTCCTCGACAAATTCAGGAGCAGGCACAACGGCTTCGACTCAGATCTCCTCCGGGTCAACCTCCGCTGTCACTATGACCTCCACCTCAGCTTCAACCACAATCACATTGACTACCAGCGCAAGCTTCTCCTCTACTATTTCGATAACGACTGGTGCAAGTAGCAGCACCACAACATCGTCAGCTCCTTTTCAAGCAGTAAACTCCTACACAGTGGTTGCAGGCGACTATGGTTGGGCTATTGCGACTTTACTGGGCTGCTCCTGGGATGATTTGGAGGCTGCAAACCCTGGCGTTGATTGGGACAGCTTGCAGGTTGGGCAGACCTTGAATGTACCTGCTACTCAGGCTTCCGGCTCATCAACATCATCGATTCCCTCTAGCTCTCCCTCTGATATCCCCTCAGATTCGATGAGTGGAAGCCAATCGACATCGTCCATGTTGTCAACTGCTTCAAACCCCACCTCGACCGCTACTTCAGGCTCAAGCACTACATCTGACCCTGTCTGTGGCTCTGGTCAGCCATGCGCAGGACAGGACGGAAGCCAGACAAGCAGCCCCCAATCCGCTACGGCAGCCTCGACGATTGTGACAACGACATCTATTTCCACAAGTCAATCTTGCACAACTTCTGCTACGGCTGCAACATCGGCCACTGCTTCCACCGAGTTGCCTAGCACATCCAGCTCGAGCTCTGTTGACTTGGTGTCATCCTCCTATTCCACCCCTGTTGGGGAGTCGGAGGATCCTTCCAGTGCCATGTCAGGCACGAGTACATCCAGTCCAACTTCCAGAACACCCGCTGACACTAGTGGTACAACATCCAGCGCGGCAGGATCCACGAGCACAGAAACTCCAGTTGCGTCAGTGACAGTAACTATCAGCTCAGCGACATCAACTGGCAACCATTTTACTTCTTCTCAAACAAGCTCTAAGTCAAACATTGTAAATCCAGTCACGACACCACCATCATCCTTGGCTAAGATGATTTGCAATCAGGATAACTGCCTCCGCAATGTGATTGATCCACGTTATTCATCCACCATGCGTGGCTTCTGTTCTGGTTACACCAAGACATCATCCAACACCGCGCCTCTGCCCACATTCTTGGGTGGGTGCTCAGTGGATGTTAAGAGGGTCAGCAGTGCTTGTTCCTGCCTCGCCACCAGCTTTGGGACGGGAACGGCAACGTCAGGGACGCCGGCAATGACGGGACCGCCGTTGCGGGCAGGAAGTCCTTCGTGGAAGCAGACCCCTTCTTGGAAGTTAAAGCGGTCGCCTTTGAGATGGAATCGACCAGCCGTGTAAGTACGGTGCCGGCAATGATCGGGCGATTTCATGCAGCACTAATTTCGGGTTACTGGACAGGATGGAGCGTCGTAGCCCTTGTAATCAATGGTATTCAGGAAAATGAGAGTTTGTACAATAATCGATATGCCACACACTCCCTTCCGTTAAGCAATGTGGATTGGCCTTTTTCCGCTGGGCCATATCTTTTGACTGTTTCGAAACGTACGCGAGACATGTTTGACGGTGCCCAGGCTCCCTAAAATCAATCGTGGTCATAGCGGGGCGTGTGACGGAACAGGATCTTTTCCCTGGTCAAGCATAACGGCCACACCTTTCTCGGAGTGAGTAGTCGGAGTAGATCTATCTTTCAGCAGCGAAGGTCAATGAGATGTTCTTTCCCTATCTTGCTTTGGTCTTTCGTCATGAGGCTTAGCTCTTGTGACCCTTTAGTGACAGTTCAGAAGCCTTTCCTGTGGTATGGCACCAAAGGTGGACTAGTGTCAGCACGCTTCACGGCCACACATTTTCATATAGGTCTAAGCACTTCATTTTGGTACCTGCATCCCATCCGCAATAATTACATGGCAGAGTCAAAGAAAATAATGTGGAGGCAGAACAGTGCGTGCAGCTCAGGCACGCGAGGCTGAGGCATTCCCGCAAGGCTGAGCCTGACTTGGTGGGTATCTTGGCATAAATCTTGGCGCCCACGAAAAATGCGCCCGCTCCTTTGCATCTCGATTCGGCTCGTCAATTTTCGAGCCCGACTCTTCCACCACGTCTCCCTTCAACTCAACAAACAAGTCTCCCTGTACGAACTGAACCCCTCTCCCCGACTCACGACGATCCGACCACTGATTATTTTCTCGCAGAACGTCTTGTCTTATAATCCGCCAAAATGACGAAGGGAACGAGCTCGTTCGGAAAGAGTGAGGAAATTCTAATCCACACACAACCTCCTCTTGAGGAGTTTGTCAAGCGGTTTTGAGAAATTTGGTATTCTGACGGGAAGCTTGCGAACAGGACACAACAAGACGCATACTCTGTGCCGGAGGTACGGTTTTTTTTTCCCCTTGCACTGCCTTTGGGCTGGGTTTCGCGTTTGGGGGCATTGAAGAGGATGTCAAATCGCAACAGTGGACTGACTTTGATGCAGATGCGGTCGTCGAAGCCTGCACATCCAAAAACACACTTGCGCCAACTGCGGAGTACGTTGAAATCCCTTCCTTCCACCTTTTCGCCGTCCATCGCCTTTCCTTTCCGCTGCGATCCACGACATGCGACTTCACAACATACATCAGACGAACACATTGGAGGATTGGCCAACTGACAGTGCAATGTAGTATCCCGCCGCTAAGACCCGCAAATACGAATGGAGCGAGAAGGCCAAGAGACGCAAGACCACCGGCACTGGCAGAATGAGGTCGTTGAAATTGGTTGCTCGGTAAGGACTCCTACTGTCCCTTTCATGTCGATGGCTTCGCGGAAGAAGAGGAGGGCGGTGTGTGATTCCAGGGTGAAAATTTGTGTGTCAATGAAGAATTGTGAACAAGGCAGACTCAAGCGGTTGATGAGTCGATACACCCGGGCGGAATGACCTGGTCCAAGATCTAGCATGGAGACTGACGAGGATTTTGTGAATACAGGAAATCAACCAACGCATTCAGGACCGGAACGCCCAAGGGTGCTCGTGGACCCGCAAAGGCATGATCGAAGAGACAAGATGACGTGTGGAGGAGCTTCATGATTTCGCATTGAAATACATTGAAAATGTGGTTTACTGGAGAGCAAAGCCTTGCGATAAAACTTGAGCGCGGGCGGCCATTGTGTGGCTTGACAGACGGGGGCGAAGGTGGTTTATGCACAGGCAGGGAGTGGCAGCCACATAGGGGAAACCAAGGACGTCGCTCTCCTGGTCTCATATGGCTGGGCGCAATCAGATGCGGCGGCGTGGTTCAGATAAAACAAAACATGAGGGCAAACTTTGTCTTTGCTTTTTTCAAGCATGAGATCTGCTCAAAGAGCCCCAGTGAATCGGAAAATTCAGCATTGAAACTACCACTCTCATGTACTTGTTCCATTGCCCGTAGTGGTTCTTCGTATCTCGGTATCTTCGTATGTATGTTGGGTGCTGTTGAGATAGTCCCGCCACTCACCTGACCTTGTACTTGAAATATTCGTTGTCGCGAGTTTTTAGATCCTCAGACTTAGTGACACATACAGAAACCTTCTTCACTTCATGCTGTTTGCTGGACCGGGGGAAGAGACATGAGACATTCTTCTCCAGAACGTCTCTATAGCGGGAAGATAAAATAATATGCCCCCAGCAGTCCCGCCTCCATTAGCGAGCTACATCCAGTCCTCGCTGTCCCCGTCAAGCCCACACGGCCAAACACTCATCACCTCGGTTCTCAGCACGCCCTCGCCTTGGCTCGTTCTGCGAATCATCTACGCGGCTTTGTACGGGGTCGAGGACGACATTGGCACAAGAGAGGGGAGAGACGCAGAAGGGCTTGAGAAAACGTCGGCGACCTCGGCGTTGCCGGTTGTCTTTGCGAGTTTTCTGCGGCCTCTGACTCTGTGGGTTGAACTGGGAAAGAAGATTGTATGTTTGACTTTTTTTCCCTTTGTGGGATTTTCTAAATCTGTCGCATTACCGCCGGAGAAATCTGTCTGGTCTTCTCCCTGTCAGGTCTATGTAGCCTCGCGATTCTACTTGCGTCTTGGTCATAGCTGATTTGCTGTTCGGTGCGTGCGACCTCGATGCTGACTGCTTCGGTAGGGTCTTGATATCCAGTCACTGCTCCGGAGCAGGAAAATCGTCTATGTCGATGGCCTCTCTTATGGTCAATCGCCCCGTCCCTCAGTGTCAGGAGGAGGAAGCAGTAGTGCAGGAGACCCGTCCCTTTCACCAACGACGAGGCTGAAGTCACTGGCACTGGGCGATGTACAGGATGTTTTGAGTTCGGGCTTGAAGAGTCTCTCCACGACTACGTCTCCCTCTCCGTCGATATCGAGTTTGTCATTATCACGCACGCCAGCACCTCGATTGCCTCCGACTTCTACCCTTCCAACACAACTCTTCGAAACCACAAAGCCACTCATCATCCTTGACGGCATTGACTTTCTCGCAGCCTGCCAACCGTTTCTCCCAATTATATCTGTGCAGGCATTCCTGTCTACTCTACGCACTCAGTCTCACGCTTTGGTCGTTACCTGCAGCGCCGACGCTCCGTTGCTGCGCATTGCCGCCTCTACAAACGAAGAAGGGACACCCCTGGAGCGCAACCACACACATCTCGTGACGGCGATGGCGCATCAAAGCCGCTGGGTGTTTCAACTCCGAGGGTTGGACACGGGCAGCGCGAAAGACGTGTCCGGCGTGATCAGGGCAAGCAAGGGTGGTGGGTATGAAGGTAACGAGAATGACGAACACGCAGCCTCTACTACCCAGAGGAGATCTGGAGACGGCAATGACTTGGATGATGCCGAATGGCTATATCAACTCAAGGGGGATGGGTTGGTCAGGGTGTGGGGTCGTGGTGAATGATTCCTTATCATCAGTATTGTCGCCTTGTCCGAGAGCAGGTGTGATAGCACCCGCCGAACTGCCGTACCTAGAACTACTATGTATAGAAATGTTTCGTTGCGAAAAACTCTTTTCCCCCAATGTCTGTCTTGTTGATATAGTAATCTGAAAGGGATTTTGTAGAGGAAGCAATAGACCGAGCACTCGGTAGATAGACCTGCATGTGGCCGAGATCTTATGGAGTAATATACGCAGGAAGCAATTCCGCTCTCCATCTCAGCGGATTTACGAAACCGGGATGATGCCATTCTTCGCCGACGTCTCCCCATCAACAGGTATTCTCGGCCGACAGCACAAAGACCTCCTCGTGCTTTAACAGTGTTTCATATGGAGTTCTTCTTGAATAGATAGTTCATTCCCAATCCCCAAATCTCGTTCTGCCTTGCCTCTCACTTTTGCAATTTCCTCTCGAGCCAAAGTCATGTCGGACTCGTTTTTGTACACCTACCCCTCGCCCTTGGAAGGGTACCAGGATCTCCCGCCCCTTCCGGACGAGTTGAACGAGGATGGAAAGTCTTATAAGAACCCGCAGACGGGCGCGCTGAGCGAGAGCTACAAGAGGTTCACCTCCGGTGTGACCAATGGCCGGCGAGGCGGCTTTGACGTCCACATCTACTACCATCTGAATAGCGACGAGCAGAAGGAGTACGCCCGTGCGCTTTGGGAGCGGATCCGGAGGGAGTTTCCAGAGTTGAGGTGAGAGTCTTCCTCCTTGTCCGGTCCCGGTTTGGAACGGCCTGGTTGTAAGGTGAAGGTTATACTGATCGAAGCAACGTTTCAGAATCTATCGGTTCTGGGATCGTCCTGTCGGTCCCCATACAATGGCCATGTTTGAGGTGAATATCTTCACGCCTGCTGAGTTTGGGGCGTTCATTCCGTGGTTGATCATCAACCGAGGACCACTCTCTGCGCTGGTCCACCCAAACCACGAAGATGGCGACGCGTTGAGGGACCATAGCCAGCGAGCCACTTGGCTGGGAGAGCGGGTGCCGCTGGATTTGGGCATGTTGAAGAAGTTTCTGGACAAGAGAACGAGCGAGCGAGCGAATGGGAAAACGGATTAGAGGGTGTGTTTTTGATATGGAGGACAGTTGCTGCGCGTTGTGTGTGCGCGTTTCTCTGTGTGTAATTTCAAAAAGATATTGCGTTGAGGTTCCTACTTCCTCTGGCATGCGTTTTCCTCAGCTGATGGCCACTCCATTATCCCACCGCCTTCACTTCACTCTCACTTTCAGTTTTGGACCATTTAGTCGAAAATTCCCCTCTTCTAATGTCAGGTCGCCAGCCCACCACCCTCACTTCACTCACGCTTTCGTCATTTAGAGCGTTTGTCCGAAATTTCTTGAAATTTCGCCTCGTCCGATGTCAAGTCACCGCTCCCTTCATCTCACGCGTGAATTCAGCCCCATCGGTGACAGACTCGGGCCGTTTCCCAGTGTCTATTTGAAGCGAGAAGATCTCCTTTCCACCACATTCATCGACCCGCCTCGTCCTAGCACTTCTCCCAGTCCTCCCACCTCTGGACTTCCCCATCTCATCGAGGACTCAGATATCATGTTCTCCCGTCCCTCGGAATCATCGACCCGCAGAAGAGCTTTAGAAGAGAATGATGAGGTCATTGTGAACGACCTAAGGGGATTCTTCTCGCGTGACAAACAACATATCGAGATTTCGGATTCTGACTTTGAGCCAAAAGGAGAAGACGACAACGATGACGACGATGAGGAAGAAACGGTACAGCCACGGTCATCGAAATACGACGTGATACCACCTGCGAGACCTTTTGTTCAAGTCACCACAACAACCACATATTCCACCCCTCGCCGAAGTGCTCGAGTACAGCCGGCGTCACCTGTGAACACAAAATCTTCGACCTCCACGACGCCTCGTACTTCGACTGAATCTCGTTTCAGCGGTCGAAGTGGTCACATTCGAGCAGACCCGCTATCAGAAGGATCTCTTTTCAAACAGGTCACCACCACTACCGAGGACGAACTTGATAAGAATAATTTGGACGACACAGCAGAACCAGTCTTCGTCGAACGAAATCTGCGGAAGAGGACTGTTAAGCAAACGAACCCGTACAAATTCGATAAATACAAATATCAGTTATCAGTGAAGACTGGCCAGGAAGCGAGTTCAAAGAAGGTGGAAAACGCTATTAAGGAAGCGATTAGAGTGAATGGAAAACAACCGATAACCAAACTTACGACCACAGAAAGGAAGATCACGCACAAACGCCGTCGAGCCAGCTCGCCTCCGGTGGATATTGATCTTGACAATACCTTTGACCCAGCACGAACTACCTTGCGAGTGCGATTAGACGGGTTTCAAGGCGGCGCAGCAACTCCAATTACCCTGAGTGAATGCAATAACAATGACAGGTTGATCGAGTTTATTCACAAGAGCTGGGAATGGAAATTCCAGGGTCTCAGCTTCTCCCATGCAATTGTATCATTTCCGTGGCTGAGCAATCGATCGACTATTCTCCTCCGCCCCGGCCTGGACGAGAGTTTCGAGCACATGATGGTCGAAATACAAAATGCACCTATCTGGCGGGAGGGGGCACAAGGAAGATGCGATGTTGAGGTGACTGTACACTTGTATTAAGAAGGTTGCAGTATGGTGGTATGGGAACGACCAAGATGCTGACAACGCTCATAACCCGTCAAAGGGGAGAAAACTGAAGTTGTGGGCAACGTATCTGTCCAGGGGGAACGGGTGTGTTAACAAACTCTGAGCATTTAGTTAGTGGGCTAGTGTAACAGAAAACATGAAACGAGCAAAGCTCTGTGCCTTATCCTCGCCTGGTGTTGGCCGACAGCCAATGCCGCACCGTGGCTAAGAGCTCTACCACCAGTCGGCTCTCGAGCTGCGCATTGAGGGGACCACTTGGTGGGAAGCCCCTGAATATTCCCCGGTGGGAAGACATTGATCGGTAGCGAGATCACAAGAGAGGGAGGGTGAACCGAAGGAAAAGAACTCTTGATCTTCTTTTTTCGTCAATCTCAGACACGGCTTCCTTTTTTTGAATTTGCGTTGTTACTTCTTCTCGAAGCAGCGGTTCGTCCTTCTACCACGCCGTGCACGCCCACCACGTCCACCACGTTGCGGACCGACGCATGCCGCACGATTTGACTTCAGAGCGACCCGCTGTCAAGTGCGCCCCTAACGCAGGTTCAAGTGGTTCAGGTGGTTCAAGTGGCTCAGGTGCAGTAGTCAACGTCGCTGCTCTGGAGTTCGGCGCCCTGAAATTACCCCATATTCCCTTCTCGAAGCAATTTGAACGGGCCTTCAACGGTCGCCGGTGACCTGTATCTCTATCCTTTTCCCCCCTGCGGGCTTCGACATTTGCAATCAACGAGCAACCTCGTCTGGCCTGCCGTCATTGGCAAGCTCTGAAACTCGATATTCGTCCACTCTCTTAGACTCTGCCTCCGACGCGGTTACAACTCCACTTCACACTCTTTCCTGTGCAACAACCTCTTGTCACTCCAAGCAACCTTGAGAACCTTGCATCTGCGCTGGCCGCCCCCTGGTTCATCACATCAAATCGAGTCAAGTCCTCACTACGGCCGCCATCCCGATCCTTATCCTCCACGAATGATCGGTCGCCCATTCAGCAACAAGCAGCAGGGCACCTTCTCTGACAGCTCGATCGCCAATCCGTTCTCCTCACGTCAGCGCCTGCGCCTGCCTCCAAGTCGTTCACCTCGCAACTACTCCGAATTGGCTCGCAAGCAAACAACCCCTCTCCGACAGCTGATCCCAGAGACACCATGACATCTCCTCCTCTCGCTCGCAATGAGTCTCAGGCTTCGAGCCGTCGAAGTACCAGTCTCGGCTCTCGCTTGTTTCGATCAAAGAGCGGCGAAGCTTTAGGTGATCGCAAGACCTCTGCGAGCCGGCTCAAAAAGAAACAGGAAATGGACGAAGCTGCAAAAGTCACACAGTCGCCTCCCCGCTTGCCAAATTACAATCCGCAGCCGCTGGGTATTCAATCATTTGGCGGTGAAAACTACAACCCGCAGAACACGTCCAGAGAGTACACCAATGGCGCGAAGAACACTCCCCTTGTTCCTCCTTTGCCCGGGAACCTGGAAAAGGAGGGTGTTGATCCTTATGCTAGAACCGAGAGCATGACCCACCGTAAGTTGAGTTCCTCCTGAGATATCATGACAAGGCTGACTCATGAATGTTAGGTGGGCGATATTCCTATGCGAATTCGACCGTGTCTACCATCAACTCCCCCCGGAGAGTTCGACGTCGCAAAGACCCCACCCCCTATAACGTCCTCATCATTGGCGCTCGAAATGTCGGCAAGACCTCTTTCCTTAATTTCCTCAAGAGCTCGCTTGCTTTGCCAGCGAAGAAACAGCCGAGTCGAGCTCCGGATGGCGATACTCCTCCGTCATCTGCGAGGGCAAACCCCAACTATGTCCACCATTACCAGGAGATCGAGGTCGATGGGGAGCGAATCGGCTTGACATTGTGGGACTCTCAAGGGTTGGACAAGGGTGTCGTTGACCTTCAATTGAGAGACATGAGCAATTTTGTGGAAAGCAAATTTGACGATACCTTCTTGGAAGAGATGAAAGTTGTTCGCGCCCCAGGTGTCAGAGATACCCACATCCACTGCGTTTTCTTCGTTCTTGACCCGGCTCGACTAGACGCCAATATCAATGCTGCTCAAGGCATCAGCAACGGCGTTGAAAACACGCGAATTGGCAAACCCTCCCGAATTGTTGGCGCTCTGGACGAGGACTTTGACATTCAAGTCATGAAGACCTTGGCCAGTAAAACTACCGTCATCCCAGTCATCAGCAAGGCTGATACCATCACTACAGCGCACATGGCGTTTTTGAAACAAAAGGTCAGCCGGAGTCTGAAGAAGGCCGGTCTCGATCCACTGGAAGCCTTGAGCTTTGATGCTGAAGATTACGATGACGAACGTCTCGACGAGCGTGACGAAGACGAAGACAGTAGTGCCGCAGACTCGGAGGACCGGGCGTCAGCTCACAGTGATGATTCTGATGCGAATCGAGACCTCGCGACTACAAAACGCCCAGGTAACCACAAACGCCAGGCCTCGGCCGAGGATGCTGTGCTTGAGAGTGGCTACGTTCCATGGTCGATCCTCAGCCCCGACAGTTACTCTCTTGAAGCAAAGGATGGCCCAGTGGGTCGACGGTTTCCCTGGGGTTTTGCCGACCCGTACAACCCGGACCATTGTGATTTCGTCAAGTTGAAAGACGCCGTGTTTGGAGAGTGGCGATCCGAGTTGCGAGAGGCGAGTCGGGAAGTGGTAAGTTCATCTGTCGCTCAAAGGTATGAGGTTCTGACTGACCGTGTCTTAGTTTTACGAACGCTGGAGGACAAACCGTCTCAATCGTCGAACTCTTCCAGCTAGTGCGACCAATGGTCTACCGTCAGGACCTAGACAGAGCAGTGGCGGGATCCCGATTGCTCTCCAATCGCGTGCGCGATAAGCCTTGAAATATTCTGTACAATAAATGTACAACAGATTTGAAGATTACCGACCAACATCGATCGATTCGAAGACGATAACTGGTTGGCAGTGTTCATCTGTATGCTATTGAAACAAGTTCAAAAGTCAAAGCCCAAGTAAGTCGACTGGGGAAGTTGAGAAAGTGGGAGGAACAGTCGAGGGGCAGCGGATTCTTTTGCAGGGGCATGGAATGTTGCGCATTGCTGGCGCATTTGTCGGCCTTTGTCGATCCCTTACATTACAGTGCCTTGGTTTTTGAACGACTTGACACGAGTCATGACACAACAGCTTTTTCTTGTCTTCTTGGAGAACGTGACGCTGGCTCTTGCGCGTGTAGAGGGCAGGCCAGGTCACTCCGAATATGTTTCCTTTGTTGATTCTGGAGGAAGTGCGGCAACAAGAGGCGAGCAAGCGAGCGAGCGAGTGGGCGAGCGCTGAGCGTTGAGCATCGTACGCAGCGGCACTGAGCAGGGCTTGGTGTTTTTGAAAGTGACGGGAGTCTTTGATTTGGTGCTGAAGATGAAATTGTAGCGAGCAGAGTTAGCCCGAAATACCCCTTTTTCCCTTTTGCAGACAATGGTAGATTCGTTTACTCTATATAGAAACTGGGCAGAGGAGGTTGGCCCTTGTCCTGTGCGAGCCATTGTTTTGCGTAGACGTATCTATACGAGTCACTTGGTTGCTCAGCTTAACCCGTCAAGAGTGAGAAGGGACTTGATCACCACTCGCTGCGAATAGCCTTCCCTACCCATGTATCTGCTCCTGTGGCCTGGCGTGGATACTGTGGCATACATACATCCCATCGTCCATCCTATGTAAATCTCTCTCCTTTTTCTCTTTCTGCCCCCCCCCCCCTTTCGGGCTTCGGAGCATATCCCCTTTTCATTCTCCCTTGTTGCTCTTCTGGTCAATACACCCAGCGATACTCCTCCGCCTTGGGCCCGTCGCGCAACAACTCGGTCGGCACGTCCCTCGCGCGCACGGCGTGTCCGCCCCTCCGCACGGCGCGCAGGTTCCGCCGTTTGTTGTCGAAAATCATCCACGCGCCGAGCAGCAACGTCAGGGCGCAGCCGACGGCGCCGAACGTCGCGGTCGTGATCAGGGCGGGCAGGTATTTCGGCCGGTCTTTGTTTTGGAATATATTCGAACTGTGTTTCACCCCGAGTTTAATCCCGGAGGGAGGACAGAGGGGGAAATGGAAATGGAGGCGTGATTAAACGAGAGAAAGGGGAGGGAGGGGAGAGTTGACTCCCGGGGGGGGGGGGGGGGGGATACCCCCCCTGAAATAATGTTCGAGAGAGGGATGAAAGAAGAAAGAAGAAACAGACAGAGATGAGAGGGAGAAGGAGACCAGAAGAACATACCTGACGACACCCATCAGATTCGCGACCGGGACACCCACGCTCGTCAACATGACCCGCTTGTTCTCATCGGCGATGTTATTATTATACCACACGTCCAGAATCACGCTGGGCGCACTCGTGCCCCAGGTCATCATGAAACAGGCAAAGTAGGCCGTGTGCAGCTGGGTGTCGAGGTTGACGGCTGCAAAGATGATGAAGCCGATACAAGTGAAGGCGAAGCCCAGGGCGACAAAGGGGAACCGCCAACGGGTGTAGTCGGACGCAAAGGCCAGGAGGAGCAGCATGACGGCGCCGGTGATGTTGGGGGCCACGGTGTACAGGTTCGTCTTGACGGTCGAGTAGCCGAGCTGGTTGACGATGACGGGGAGGAACAGCGTGACGCTCTGCAACGGCACACCCAAGCACATCTCGATGACCAGGATGACCCAGCTGGTCGGGTGTTTGAAGATGGCCAGCGCGGAGCGGATGTTGAACTTTTCGTCCACCACCGACGACGAGTCCACCTGGATGCGGTAGAAGGCCAGCTTCTTCTCCTCGGGCGTCAGGAATTTCGCCGATTGCGCGTTGTACGGCAGCACCCAGAAGGCGAAGAGCGAGAAGAGCATGCTGCACCCGCCCTCGATGACGAAGAGGTACCGCCAGTTGGCCAGGCTGGTCGAGTGGATCTGGAAGACGCCAAAGGACAGGAGGCCCCCAAAGGCCGAGGCGATGTTGGAGGCCGCGTAGAAGATGGCCAGACGACGGGCGAGTTCGCCGCGGCGGTAGAATACTATATATGAGAAAAGAAAAAAAAAACCAATGGGTGAGTACCTAGTTAGATATAGATGGGGGTTGAGCTGGGGTGTTGTGTGTGGTCAATCTTACAGGTCTGGTAGAAGATGATGCTTGGGAAGAATCCTCCTTCGGCCTATATCGAGAGTGACATGACATTTCAGCATCGTAGCGAGGATATAGGAGGAGAAGGAAACAAACCATGCCCAAAAACCACCGACACGCAAAAAGTCCCCCAAAGTTCTTCACCGCGACCGTCATCAGCGTGCTGAACCCAAACACTAGCATCATCATCGGTAGGGTGCGACTCGGGCCAAATTTCTTGCTGGCCAGGCCGACGATGGGCCCGGCGAGCACATACGGGACGAAGAAGATGGAGAGGATCAGGTTGTAATTGTCGCCCTTGAGGTGGAGAGTCTTTTCGAGGCCGGCCGTCTTTGCGTTTCCGAGGTTGGATTTGTCCTAAGAGCAGAGAAATCAATATACATATTCAGAATCTTTGAGTGTCCGTAAAAGAGGCTGGTGAGGTATGTTCCCCCACGAACTGATGCTCACCAGCGCATTGAAGAGGTACATGATGGCCAGCGTGGGCAGGATACGCAGGTCAAACTTCCACACCAGCCGTCGCTCGGCGGCCGGGTCAATCGCCACACTGGCAGAGATGGGCTGGCCATGGCCTTCTCCGAATGAAGACACAGGGATAACGCCATCGTTGGTGATGGAGACTTTCTGGTCGTCTTTGAGGGTGAGCACATCGCGCTCCTCGTGTGTATCCATATCTCTCTGGTTGAGATCGCACGATCTTCAAAGAAAAAGGAGGGAAGTAGAGAAGAAATCCACCTAGTGCAAACACAACCTTTTTAGTTTTCCAACGACCGATGTACCTGTGGGAGGATATTAAGAAGAATAGATGCAATCGGCGTATCATTCCGCTCGCTCCACGGGGATGAGCTGCAAGCAGTAGCATGGCGACAAGAGCCGTGAATGAACCTGGTCAGCAGTGATAGACGGGGATAAACGCCCCCAGACAATCAATTGCCCATGGGATGGGATCTTTTGCAGCTTTTTTGGAGATAAGGGAACCGACTATCAAAAAAGAAACGAGCCCATGATATTCAAAAGATTGCGAGCACATCTCACCGGGGCCCAGCACTTTGCTGGAAACAGCAGTCCAAAAGAAACAGGTGCAGATGCACCAGGATGGTGCATGCAACATCCATCCCCCGGGAGGCGGAGAAGAGAGCGGAACATCCCTGAGAGGATTTGGGTCGGCATCGTCATCATCAACAACACCAATGCATGGTCTTGCATGGTCTTGCTGGGCTTGCCTTGGCTTGCAGATCATTTTATTGCTTCTTTTGCTTGGAGCTAAGAGCTTTTGTTTTTGACGAAGAAAGTGGGATTGTTCAAGGGAGGGGAGTCAAATAAAGCGATGAAAGGCGAGTGGGAGATAAGAAAAGATGGCACAGTGTAACATGCCGGGGGATTTTACAGAAATGATGACAAGGATGCGTTATCGCTGTCGATCCATCAGGGACAAAGAATGGCTGTGGACTTCTCCGATCGCCATGGAGGCAAGAAGAGGAGATGATCGACTGGCTGGCTGGTGTGTAACGTGCTAGTTGTCCGGTAGATCTGGGGATTGATTTACGGAGGGAGATCGGAACATGAAGGAGATGGCAGAATAGAGAATAGATAGCGTTGGTCTCAAAGTTTGGAGGCTTTCTCTTTCATCTATGCGACTCCGGGGTTCAGTTTTCAACATGTGTCGTGGTCTGATACAAGCCCAAGTCCTCGGAATCGATCTGAATAGATCTGATCTGATCTGACCTCGTTAGTATCAAACAACCACGTGTGGCAGCGACTCCTTCTCGCCTGCTCACTCCATCTTCGCACTGATCGCCTTCTGCATAAATGTCCCCAGAATCCCATCTCGTCTCGACTGCTCCCCGATCCATTCCTGCACCTCGCTAGGAAACGGGACTGGGTCACGGTAGAACAGGCGATTCGTCGACGCTTCGACGCAGCATCCATTCTTCACCTGTCCATCTTGACCGTCACTCAGTCCATCCGGGGCAATGCGCCCCTTGACATCGATCAACTCGTCAAACGCTCGCGTGATGGTTTCCAAGGGTGTGAAATTGTCTTCGGGCCACTGCTCCAGGATGGGCTTGGGGATGATGTTGGTCTTTGTGGTGCTGGGCATGACGGCGTTCAACGTGATGCCCTCGTCTTCGAACAAGGTCGGTGCTGCAGCTCGCACGAGCCCTATGCAGCCGTGCTTCGCCGCCGTGTACATGGGCAGGATGTAAAACGGGTACTGGCCTGCCATGGACGCCGTGACGACCATTTTGGGGTGGAAGTCGTGCGATGCGGCCACCCCCATGGCGGCGTCGCCCCCACTGATTCCAATGTCGTCCATGACTGCCGCGGTCTGCTGACTCAGTAGGGTGCGCGTCTTCCTGGAAAAATGGACAAAGAGCTTCATTCCGTAGAAGACCGCCTTCAGGTCGATGTCGATGCAGCTGAGATCGGGCTCGACGGGGTCTTGGTCCTTCTCAGTTGTCTCAGCATCGCCAAGCCAGCGCAGGAGCGGCTCTCTGTCTGGGATCCCAGCGTTGTTGGCGAAGAAGTCGATGCGTCCCCCAGACCACTCGAATGCCCTCTTGAAAAGTCCCAGCTGGTCTGAGAACTTGGAGACGTCGGTACGCACAAAGATGTGGCGATCTCGGTCCAGCGTGGACTTGATGGCTTCGTACCCGACTGGATTGATGTCGGCGAGTACCACCTTCCACTGTCCTTCCTCGTCGTTGCTATTCCCTGTCTTCGCTAGGAGGTGATGCACCAGAGCGAGACCCATGCCAGAGACAGCGCCTGTGACAATGGCGGTTTTGGTGAGTTTGGGTTTGTCAATCATGTTGGATGGCTGTTGGGACATGGACCTGTGTGGTTTCCGAAAGGACCTTTGGAGTCAGATCCTTTTGATATACATGGGTGCGACGCGCCTGGTTTCGCTAAGCCACCTTATGCTCTCGGGGGGAACATTGATGAAGACATTCACAAATCTGCTGACTTGGTCCCTCATACTTTCACAGCCGACGAGCTCGGCGCAAGTCTATTGATTCGGTATGATGCGTGTGATGTAACATGGAGCATATTGTTCGGTCGCCGAAGTCGGGATGAACATGGGTAGTCAAGACACGACCACCAAAGAAAAAAGGTGACGCCAGCCAGGAGAGCTACTGTGCTGGCAGGGTGACATGGTATGGGGGTCCCTCTGAAAGAAGTACGATCGATATTGGAAGTGGTTCATGAAGAGGTTGGATGTTGACAATCCTACCAATCAGAAGATCGACGCCAACGCCACATCAAGAACTGTCCAATGATAACATATCTTGGCGTCGTGGATCGACCAATGGGAAAATACCACTCGTGCACTTGCTGGGGCAAGTTAGAGATAATCGAGGTACAAGGATTTATGTATGCACACAGGACACCGAATAAGATTCGATCTAGTACGCGCCGACGTAAGACAAGACGGACGGTGGTCTTGTTCTTCTCCTGCCTGACAGGCAAGAAACTGAGGTAGAATCAACGTCCCCAGAGTCCGGAGAGGGAGCGTGTAGTCAAGTAAGTGATCAACTCAGCTCCCAATGAATTGTGTCAAAGCCACCACAAGTACCTGAATTCCTGCGCATTGCAATAAATGCGACGGCGACGGCGTGACGGTGACGGCCACGGAGTAGACTTGTTCTATCCTGAATCTCCAAAGTCGTGCCTGTGCCTGTCCCACCCCCTCGCCGAAGAGCCCCAATTTCCCCTATCCGAAGAAGCAATTACAAAATTCTGGCACATCCAGAAACCCTCTCAACCCCCTTTGCGCGGTGCACCGTACTCAGACTCTCACGAATAGTGTGGTCGAAAGCCGCTGCGGACGCGCTGATGGGCGTCTCGGTCGCTCGGCGTGGGGCCAAACTGCCTGTCACAGCGCCAGGACCAGTACTTGGAGAGGGCGTAGTAGACGTAGTTGTCGACGTTGTTGACGGTCGCGGGGAACGCCTGGTCCCAGGCGCCGTAGATGTCCTTGATCTGCTTGGCCCGGTAGGGCCCGTAGCCGTTGGGCGGGTTCGGTCCCGAGTAGTCGTCGATGGCTCGCCAGCCCTGGTCGTTCACCCGGATGAATTCGTACCAGCCCGGCACGTGGATGAACAGGTACCCCCAGTGGATGTACTCGTGCAGGATGGTCGAGCCCACCGTCTTCATCCAGTCCGAGTCGAAATCCCCGAGTCCCGCGCACGAGTATCCCGGGCGCGGCTGGCCGTGGCTGTCCCGCGCCCACGACGTCTGTGGCGGGTTCGCAATGTCCTCGATCGACGGCCAGTCGAAGATGTCTTCGCAGATGTAGATGTCGGCATCGCGGTTGTCGTTGTCCTCAGTCATCCACGCATTGGCCGTGCCGTCGCACTGTCGCTCCGTCGGCCTCGCCAGGCCGTCTCCGATGAACAGCGCCGAGCCTGCCAACCTGGTGTTGAGTTGTGCGTTGGGTTGCGTGAGGACCGACACCACGGTTTCCGCCGTGAGCACCAAGTCCAGAGGTATATTGGCAAAGGTGCGGAATATGTTGCCCACAAAGACTGCTTCCTCGGGTCGGAAATACCGTAAGAATGCCTTTTTCACCACCGGCGTTAGAATCGAACCTTTTCTGTCATATATGTGTGTATGTGTCCAACGCTGTATGTGTCTACCCAACGTACGTACCTCTTCGCAGGGATTAAATGTCAGTGCCACGACTCTGGCGATGTGGACGGCGTCCTCAAACCCTTCTCTCACCCTGTCGAGTTGCACTGCCGGGGCACCGTTGAGATGCTATATCGTCGGCGCCGTTGCTTGGCCTTTCGCCCCGTGCAGGCCCAGGAGGGGAATTATCAGAAGAAGATGTAGGATGGCGCTGATGCCCATGGTGTTGATAGACGCGGGTTGTCTTGTCGGCGTCGTCGCAGGGAGGCGCGTGAGTAGTTTGCTACAGCACGAGAACTGCTTTGTGTAAGTCTTAACACCGCGACTGATTAGAGAACGACGATTGCAGCGCGATGTCAAGGCCGAACTCACCTTTAAGTAGCCCCTGATGTTACTCTCTAGTTTGACCAAGAAATTCTACTTCACAGGTCGTGGTGATGAAGATTCACTGCTACAAACACACGCACCTGGTGATTCTGGAATGTGTGTGTGTGTGTGCAAAAAGTGATTTTGGTCAACTGAAAGGAGAATGAATCAATTTTAACCGTTGCGTGAATATCGAGCACAACAGGAATTTGTGGGATGAGATGGAATTTTCGTCCCCCTTTTCTATGCGTTGTAGCGTTCAGCCGTGCCTGCGCATAGAACACACTCTCTATGTGAAATACACATCATCTCCGAACAAGTCCTCAACCCTGACTTTTGCGCCGACTAGTATCCCAGAATGTCAGATGAGTACGAGGTCTTGAACGCCCAAATCCTCCTTCAATGGACCTACACGGAGTCCTGGGGGACTGCTCATGGGCATGTAACACGATCCTCGGTTGGAGTCTTTAATCCAGAAACTCACAATAGCCTCCACTCTCGCTGCTTCTTCCTCGATATATTGGGAAGAAATCAAGGGCCCGATCACTGTGAAGGTATTGCTGTTTGCATTACTGGCCCGTATAACGACGGGCAGAGAAGCACCCCTCAGCAAGGCAACTACATCGCCGCTTGCTGCGGATTCCGGAACCAGACACGGCGTTTTGCACAGCGACCGCACCACTGAAGATGTAGTTCGGTGGGTTGGGAAATCTCCCATTCCGAAGAAAGTTTTGAAGACATCAAGAGGCCCCGGAGATGGAACTGGTCTGGCTCGGAAATCAATTTCCTTGAAGCCTCTCAAATTCTCGATCCTCGTGTGCAAACCACTTCTGAAGTTGCTCAAGATATTGCTGAAATCCATGAACGCTCGAGCTTGAAGTACAAGTCGAGACTGCAGCTCGTTTTGCGCAGACGAGGTGACCTTCAAGCGACCAAGAACAGTGCCACGACATTTCAATTTGCGTCCTGCATCATCTGAGATGAATTTCATCTTTGGACGCGAGTGCAAATAATGTTGAAACACGTTGAACTGGGTGTTCGATGCCGCGGCAAGCATATCCCCATGGATGCGACTCCAATTTATAGCCGTAGTGCTCCTCACCGGTTCGTGTAGAATCCAATCGAAGTCGAGATTCGGTCGAATGGTCTCCCAGTCGGGTACCCAACTTGGAAGTTCAACCCGGTTTCTTTTGGTTTGACAGGCAAACAAGATGACGTCAAGAGAGTCGTGAAGCTGCATGACATATTCGGCCGTGTCAGTAAACACCTCGGTCACTGTGCGGGAGTAGTCAACCAAGAGACACGGAGCGTGATCAGCTGTGAGGATGGATACCGGAGGTCCATCCAAGCCAGGCACCCGTGAAGGTCCAGCGCTTCCGCGTCTGTTCATACTGGTTGTCAGCGTAGCGGTCATGCTCAGGATGCCATAAACGTAGTCTCTCTCGTCCATGGCCTGGAAAACCCGGCGCCGCGCAGAACTCGGTCCAAGATCCAGTTCGAGTCGTCTGCTAGGTCCCTCTTGGCAAGTGGCGAAGCAATCAATGCGCTATCACGAGGGCTGGAACGCATGTGTCTGGCCGTGGACCTTGATAGATTGTCCACACCAGCAGTGTTGATTTCGCCTTCCCTGAGAAAGTGGAAATGTTCAAAATCTTCCACCCATTCCACCAGGCGTGAAACTTGCTTGTGAAGGTGAAACCAATCGATGCGAGAACTGCCTGCTTGGACATAAAGAGATCTCGCAGCGAAGACTTCCTGTCTTACCTACCTCCGAATCAGTACAAAGCGCATATTGAGGCATATTGAGCCACCACGGGCTAAGATGATGTGTTCAAGAGAATCAACTCACCCAAACTCTGCGAAACCACGGTCTGCTCGCCAAGATCTCCAAGCCACGGTAAACGGCTTTGAGTCCGTCAAGACACCCCAATTGATGCATGACATTGGACGAGAAGTGTATGAGATAGTCGATCGTGGCACCACCACATTCGCTCTCGTTGCCTAGCCACGCGATGACGGTCTCGGCTGTTGCGTAGATGCCGAACATCTTCTGGATCTGTTCCGATTTCTCATCATCGTCCGCCTGGTTGATGCATATCGCGTCAATCCAAAGGTATCTGCTCCTTTCTCGGTATCTGAGCTCTTGTAAGGCCGCGTAAGCATTGTATGGAATCTCCGTTGGTCTTCCATCGCAAAGAATAGTCTCTGTCCTGCCACTAGACCCCCAACTCCAAGATAGAGCATCAAAGGTGACGAGCATTCCATCTATCTCAGCTCCGCCACTAGTTAGCACTGCATTGTAGAGCCTGATCCGTATCTGTTCGCCAGGTTCACCGGGACTTTGACGCAGTATCCGAATTTGATGCGGGCTGATAGGCGTGTAGGTCCTGGAGGGGTGCCACAGTGCGCTGTCGATTGGCTGAGGGTTCTATTGGCGGCCCTGGCTCATAGTCATACTGATAGTGCCGTAGCCAGCAATCAGGTGCGCACGTTGTTGGCCTCCGCGATGCCATGGAACATCCGATACTAATACAGGGTCAGTCGCTATCAAACACCACACATGCCCTAACTCGCAAGGCCGGCGGGCATAGAATAGGGATAAGGCACAAGACCTTTTTTGAGAGAGTGTCAGAGTGTACAATCCACCAGATATAACACTCAAAGGGAGTTAAATGGGCTTGGGTTGCAGCTATAGTTGGCAACTCCTGGTTGGCCGCCCAACAGGCAACCGTGGGGTAGGAAGAAGGCACATGAGTGAGGCTGAGTCGAGACGGATGCCTAGCCACCTCATGTCCTATCAAACACACGCCTTCACGCTTCAGCCGCAGTTGACTGGAAAGTGCAGACGAGATCCATCCCGCGCTGGGCGTCACAGGCATGTATGTATACTGGTAGATGTCAACGTTGGGAGAGTATTGAATGAGAACTCGTTACGAAGCTGCGATCGACGACGAGACTGAGAGAATCGCCAATCGTGATTTCGGAAGCCTCTATATCCCTTTTACCGCCCCACCATCAATCCTGACCGCTGAGCCCGTCATCCAACGCGCAGAAGGTGAAAGCAAATAGGCGACGAGCTCTGCGATCTCCTCGGGCTTTCCGAAGCGACTGATACCCATTGACTTGCGCATATTCTCTTTAGCCTCTTCGAGAGGAATGCCTTTCGTTTCCGCAACTTGCGTCGCCATGGTCACCAATCGTTCGGTTTCGACCGGCCCCGGCAGTATAGTGTTGACCTGGATGCCATCTTCAATGCCGCGGTCAGCGAACGCCTTTGACAGAGCATTGACCGCTGAGTTGACGACCGCCACGGCTGCATTGCCTGCTTTGGGTGCCTCGGCCGCCACGCCGGACATGAACAGCACGGCGCCCTTCGAGGCTTTCAGATACGGCCAGGCCTCGATCGTTAGGCGCCGCGCACCGTGCAACTTCAGGTCAAACCCGGCATTCCACTGCTCGTCAGTCAGCTTGAAAAGGTCGATTGGCTTCACGGAACCGGCATTGTTGAAGAGGGCATCGATCCGCCCGAACTTGTCGACTGTCTTGGCCACCACTTCCTTGGCGGATTCGGGGAGAGATAAATCTGCCGGTATTGTGAGCGTTTTGGCTCCCTCGACTTCCACCTCGGCTGCTACCTTGCGCAGCAGCGACTCGTTGCGGGCGACAAGCACGATGGTCGAGTAGATTTTGGCAAGCCGGACCGCCGATGCGGCACCTAGGCCTTGAGATGCGCCGGTGACGATGACGAGGCTCTCAGGTTGAGACATTGCCGCCAAGGAGACACTGCTGAGGCCAAGAGACCAAAAAAGGGAGACTCGAGAGAACTACGCAACAAGCCTTTAGATGGAATAAGAAAAGGAACGCAAACGATAATCACAGTCTCACGGGAGTTGGAGCGGGAAAGGTTGATACAAGCCGCGGGGACGGTCATTCCCCCCACGTCAAGACAGCAGGGGGTAACAGAACAGAATCCAAGTCGCTCCCCCAAGAAATCACACTTGCCGTGTACCACTCAGGTCTTAGTAAGCCACCCTGGCCTTGCCGGTGAAATTTGTTGTCAAAGTAAGCAATCTCTCCATCTTTACCCAGCACATTTGCCCTTCCCTCTAGTCTAGCCACGTGAATGTTTCACCCTCTACACAACTCATATCAAGAACAAGGGACGTACGTGGTTGAAAGAGCTGAGATTCTGTCACAGGTTCGGTAAAAAGACCCCTTATCCGACAAAGCTGGCTGTGGCGTCCAAGATGAACTGGACAGTCTCCTCAGGCCTACTAAGCATAGGCGAATGACTGCTGTCAATCTCTCTCAAGGTAACATCTGCGCCTGCATCCTTGGCCGTTTGCACAAACATTTTCTGTACCTCCACTGGCAAGCATTGGTCTTGCTTGGTAGCAAGATACCACACTGGAACATCCTTCCACCCGCTGTAGGTATGTTCACCATCTTGGGTCAATGTCTTCAGCGAATGTGGGGTGAGTTTCTGAACCCACTCATTCCCTTCTTCTTCGGGCAGGTCGTGATAAAAGTACCCTCGGACATCACCAGTAACTACTGCAAAGCCCGTCTCCTCATCGAGTTTCCAGGTCGAGGGTGGTTGACCCCCCATGCCCTCAAGAAAGTTTTTCACCACAGGGGCAACAAAGCCAGTTGCCATCAGGATGAGGCCAATAACATGCCCCGATGTCTTGTTCTTTGTTGATAAAGATGCTGCACCTGGTTTTCCTTTCGGGGGAGTGAGGCCCTTGATCGCGCTTTCTCCCACAACGCCACCATATGAGTGGACTATCACCACCACATCGCGTCCCTGGGCCGTCTCGGAGACGAGGACATCCCTCACGGCTTGGATATCACCCGGGAGAGTTGCGCTCGGATCGGACAGTGTTGATGGCAAGGTGACGGAGATGCATTTGTATTGGTGTTGACTTTCGAGCGCGGTAGTGAGTTTGTCCCACGTGGCGGCAGGGTGCCACGCTCCTGGTACAAAGACGAGAGTAGGTTTGGACGACATGATTGATTGTGACTCTTGATGAAAGAGAAAGTCCTGGATGTTTGATGCTGGCAAGACGTCCTTTTAAATGAGAGTGTCGACCTTTCTTCCACTGACGCCACCACCTGCAGAGGGAGATACCCACCCTGGACCTTCCTAAAAGGTAACATATCGGAGTACGGATCGAGCGACGGAAGACCAGAGAGCCAATCAAGTCACAGTTGAGGGGCAAGCGAAACCACTCTCGGAAAGTCCAGAGTACGAACCGGATCCACCTGTCAATATCAACAGCAAGTTCGCTATCAATTTTCTCATGTCCGTCTGATCATCGTGGTCGGCCAGGGCAGCTGAATACCGAACACCTCAACAGCGCCCGTCACCATGCTAAATGTGAGCATCCATCCATAAATTCCCTAATCACAAACGCCAATCGATCAACGAAGCCATGTCCAGAATCCCTTGCTTTCCTCGCTAGCCCCCTCAGCACATTTGATACGTTTATACTTCCTCAAACGCCCGCTTGCTTGGCCTCTCTCTACGCCGCATATTCTCTCCCTGATTTCCGAAATCCCCTCAAGCTCGAAACATCTTGACCACCTGTTTCACCGTCTTCCGGCAAATGGGGCAGAGCTCACACTGTCTGGCGCACTCAACACAAGCACACACGTGGCCACAGTCGAAGAACAATGCATCGATCTCGTTGCCGTAGCAGATCTGGCACAAGTCTGCTTGCTCATCCGCGACCTGCCAGTACGTGGTTCCCATTCCCCAGCGCTTGCCGTTCTCAAAGCCGCCGACGTACTTGTTCCCCGTTCTGGCTTCTACAAAAGTCCCTTGGCCGTGACGTTCGTCCTGGTACCATTCCCCTTCGTAGGTGTCGCCATTGCAATACGTCATTTTGCCTCCTTTGCCGCATTTGACGTTACAGACGAGTGGCCCTTCGTAGATATTGCCTGTGGAGCTGATGCTGAAACACCTGGCCCCGTGACAGAGCCCATTGACCAGAGGCCCTTTGTAGTAATCGGTTCCAAAAACCGCAAGCTCGACAGGCTCGGTGGTTGTCACGGATTGTATAGGATGTCGTCGCTCTACCATCCGCAGGTAGGTCGAGAGCTCGTGGGGTGTAGCGAATTTGCCTTCTCTTTCGAGCTCCTTCACGCGAGTTTCGGACACCGGCTCGTAAACGACAAGATCACAACCGTTGACAAATCTGGGGTCCAAGAATGTATCCTCGGGCCCCACAATGCTTCCATCGACGGTTGAATGACGACGCCAGGCGATAAATTGCTTGTCCGGCCCATATCCAAAGCGTCTCTGCACAAAGTCTCTCACCTTTTCTTCGGACCTGGCAAAGAATGTTCCCTGGACACGGAAAGTCTGCGTGTCGACGTCGAACATCTGGAGAAAGCCGTAGATGTTATCAACCGGGCCTTGCTTTTCAGGGGGTGGTGACGAAGATTGCGACGATTCGCTGGATTGCGAGGCCGAATGGTCGGTGGAAGCAGATCCGGAGTTCATCACAAAATCCATGGCTTCAGAGTCCTCGGAGATGACTGCAGCAATCAAGGATTCTTCGGCTTGAGACAGTGTTGACAGTCCCGGTGCTGACGTGAGTGCCGTCTCAGTATTGACTAGCAGACTTGTCACATCGACATGTGCTGCCGCGTCAATAAGATGACCATGAGGCACATTCGCAGTCAAGCCTTCTTCGGCGGTTGGAGGCGGGATCTCGAGCTGCATGGGCGTGTCTTGGTCATTAACTTCCACGGCCACAGCGGATGGTTGTTGTCTGGTGTTTGCGGCGCGGTCAATGTCGACCGCAACAGCTGCTCGAATTGAAGCTTGCTCGGCATCCGGAGCAGCAACCTCTTCTTCGTTCTCGTTGGCGACACTGGCTGAATCCGAAGTCTGGCTGCTTGAGCGTAAGAGAACCGAATCCGCTGGGTCGTTCGTTTTGTCTGGCTCCCCAAACAATTCAACCTCATCCTTGCTGAGCACCGACATCCACAAGCATAACGGCTGACCTGGAAAACAGCCATTGCCTATCGCCTCGGTGAGGTGAACGTTAGCCAGTTGAGCAGTTGCATAATGTCCGATCCCACTGTAACCCATCCCAAAAAGTCGAATCGTCTGAGGATCACTAATTCCAAGCTTTGCGGCAAGACGTTGCCTCAGATCCTGATAGGTTGCACATCTCGGCGAGCTCAGCAGATGAAACATGCCTTTGTGTCGAGACTGCTGTTTGATGTTATACATATCCAGCAGGCCTTCCCGGCCGATAATGCCTTCGTCAGAGTAGACCTCAATGCTGACTTCTTGCAAGTCCCCATCGGTGGCATCTTCTGTAAAGTTTCCATGCGCCTCCTGATACGAAGAATCCAAGTACGGCGCGAGCCATTTCGGGAGTTGATACGGTTCCAGACATCCGGGCAGATAGTCAGCCAAGCAGCTGGTTCTGATGTACATTGCCATATAAGCAGTTGTTCGGGTTGAGTTGAAATCTTTCAGAGCCTGTCCTTCGAGTCCTTCAAATGCTTGTATTATCTTCCGGTTGTAGGAGAACACCTGGTTACCATCACCGTCCTCAAAAGCCAGCCACATTGTGTTAGGTCCATTCGGCCGCAAAATCGTGTAAAATTTTCCCGAGTTCCTCACGCCAGCATGGGCCATGAATCCATAAAGGGTGTATTTGCCGCCTTCGCTGGTGCTGAATTCCGAAATATCGATTTCATCGTTCAAGATCACACGGTCATAGAGTAGCCTCCATTCTCGGGTGGTCTTGTCAAACTTGTCCCGTGCGAGCAAAAGAGGCAAAAAATCGGGAAGACATCCTTTGAAATTCATGTCCCTCAAAGTACGGGTTAGTGTTTGCTGGACATCGAGCACGTTCTCCACGGGCAACGGCGGCAATGACGTTGGGCCACTTGGACCATCAAAGATTGCTCTCAGGGATCTCAAGCTTTCTTCATCGTCATCCAATTCAAGTTCGATCGTCCGTCGAAAGGCTTCCCAGAAGGTTTGAACATCAACGTATTCTTCTCCAACGTCTTTCATGGCCTGGATCGCAGGGTACAGGTCCACATAAGTTTCACGTTCTTTCCTTGACGTCCGCATCAGAAAGAGTATCATTTGGAGTTGCGCGATGAATGGCTTTGGTCGGACTTGGGAATTATGTCGCCAGCTTCCGGTGTCGACACGCTGCAGCAGCTTGCGAAAAGGGGCCAAAAGAAGCCATGCGGTCATCCCTGCCACGGCAGGGCTATGGTAGAGTGGAGGAGTTCCCATGGGGAAATACCCTGCCAGCGATTTCGAGTCCCAGTGAGGTTCGGCATCAGAGCTCCGCCACCACAAGGCCTTCGTCGGGTCATTGAAAATGCGGATGTAGGCGTCAATTGCAATAGTGTCGTTCTGTAAGAGCGGTGCTCTTTGCAAGTGCTGCCGGAGGTGTGCCTCTCTCCAAGGGCCTGCGACACTTGACCAGCCCCAATCATCCACATACTTGGAGAATTGACCCTCAGTGGAGGCATACGCACATGTGCGTGGCTCTTCGGGGTTGTACATCACCACACCAAGCTGGGCAGACAGCCGCCAATCACCGTCTCCGATGTCTGAAGTCGTCTGTACGTCTAGCACCTCATCATGGCCAGTATCAGGGACACTGGGATTTCCTCCTTCCGAAGGTGGCTGGTTGTCTTGTTTTTGGCTGGCAGAGGTTGTGGAGGGTGTGGTTGAAGAATGGTCGTCTTTCTTCACGGTCCGTTCGGTTTTGAGAGTCATAGTTGGAACGGCGCCACTGCCAAAATCCGCATCTGGAGGCCCTTCGAAGAATGAGAATGTGCTTTCAGAGGATTTGGTGTCCGGTTTTGGAGGTCTTCTGCTACATTTGATGTAAGCACTGTAAGACGTAGAGGTATGGCCACGCGGGTAGAATTTGATTTGCCAATAGTTCCCATCCACAACAGCAGGAGGTGAAACCATGACTCTGGAATGGTTTGGTCTATCCTTGGTCCCTCTAACTCCCTTGATGACCCAGCTGAGGCGCAACTTCTTGATCGGCCGCGTGTCCGGGATGTCCACATTTGAATAGATGCGCTTCTCCATACCGGGAACGTCCAGTGCATTCACCTCTGTACCCCTAGATTCTCTCAGCCTCAGCTCTTCCATCTCCTCGTCACTTGGCTTTGACCAGTCTTCTTCAAAGTTTACCCATTCTGGGATGTTGTTGCGAGGCTCGGGTGGAGGGGGAGGCGTCGAACTGGGGTCTTCGCTCGGGACTTCTGCTTCTACTGCTGCTGTTCCTTCTTCCTCAATAGGTGCCGGTTCCGGAACGACCAAGTTGTCTTGTACCTCCGCCGGAGGTTCTTCTTCAATGACACTGGCCGATTCTTGGGGTTCAGCTTCAGGCTCTGGATGGGCCACATCCGCCATTTCTGCGTCCGCGGGTTCCGGTGAGGACGAAGGAATATCGGAGTGAGATCGAGTGGAGGTGGAAGAGAGAGGTTCGTGTGGTTCAGGCCCGGGCATCGTTGATGTCTGTGAGTGGTGGCTAGGGTCAAGGTCCGCATTGAACGACGAGTTTAACGTATGAGGCGGATAAGGATGGGTTTGAACAAGGACTGGCGAAGTGCCTTGGGAGGCCATGATATCAGCAACAGTGCCAGAAACCAACAAGTAGCAAAGAAAGCAGTGGTAAGAGAAAAGTAAGGCGGTGAATGCTTGGGTTAGGATTGTATATCAGTTAGGGTGTGTTTGTTTTATCAGACAAAGTACGAGCACTGCGTCACATTTTCAAAAAGTTGACAATGGTCTTTGGGGGATAAGGCAAGTGTGACAGCTGGAATTCAGGATGGGCAGGGAGCTTTTGTGTGCACCAAAAGGCTCTGGACATTTACATTCAAAGAGGGTGGTGCATTTATGCAGGAATATGGTAGAACCGGTAAGTGGCAGGCAACGAACGAAGTCCCAGGCATCGGCGTGGAGGCTTAGCTATTGGACAGTCCCGACAGGCTCCAGCACTTGGATCCCCCCGTTTAAGTGTTTAAGTCGCCGCGTGCAGGGCCAGTCTACTAGGCCTACCCTGTAATGGCTAACTGGCACCACTGGCCTCCTCTACCCCCACGTAAATGACTCCCCAGCTGTCGCCACCCGCCTTTGGGCTTTGGGCCGCAAAGCCTGCGTCCCTGCCTAGGCAGTGAGGCTCAGCCATTATTTAGTCCTTTGCAGGTGTCTGACTCTCTTCCAAGCGCCCAGCCTCATCTTTGACTGGTAGAGCTGGCGATGTGGCCCCCTTCCGTCCAAGGACCCATTGGCTCGTGGGACACCAAGAGGACCCTTAATGTGATCCGTCCACTGCCACTGGCACGCACTTGGGTAAGCCTTTATTTATCCTTTGTGAAAACCCTCCCATTTTCTCAACCCTCTCAGCCTGACTCACTTTCACCAGTCAGAAATCAGCGGGTCTGGCGATCCCCCAACCGTCACACCACGCTGGTGGTCTCCACACTCTTTCATCATTTTCGTTGTGACGAGGCATGGAGGCTGTCTGCCTTAGACCATGTGAGTAACGAGATATCGGCAGTCTCAGAGAACAGTTGGAGATTTCATCTGACTGTCTGCGAGTCATGGTTTTGGTTCTGGTTTTGCAAAAGTCCCAGCCACGATCAAGGGGAAACTTATTGTACTGAAAATCTTCGTTAGCCTAGATTCTTGTCGGTAGAGTCTTGAACAAGAATGACAACTCACGCCTCGACATAGACCTGTTTGTTGACAATGTTAGTCTTCTGCAGTCATCAAGTTGGGCTCTGTCCTTTTCATACCTTGACACTGTCTCCGTCGGCTTTGATTCTGCTCTTGGTCAATTTCCAAACAAGATACTGACACGGACCACTGGAGAAGACCTACTTGCCCCAACTCACTGCTTCGTCTGGTCGGGCGCCAGCATCACTCCCATCGAATTCCTGTGCCGTGTTAACATAGACCGCACTTTCGGCGCCGTTTCGCATCAGGCACGCATTAGCGATGTGGTGCTTGACAACCCCCCCTCCAAGGATGATCATGCCCGCTCGTTTCGCCCGCACAGCAATTGTGTTGATTTTCCGAATGTCCTTGGCTATGTCGATGCCGAGATGGAGTGGGGAGGCTTTGAAAGAGTGGAAGTAGATCATGTCTCCTAGACTGCCATCTGTCAAGGCAGGACAGAAGACTGGAATGTCATTCTTGTATGCCCAGTAGTATACCGATGATTCGTCATTGATCTCTTTGCCCAGGCGGTGGATTATGGTGCTGGGAGTCCACATGAACCGTTCTCCGGATCGTGCAAACTCTTCTTCCTGCTCCGCTAGCATCCTGTCTAGAATGGGGATGATCCAGTCCTCGAAGGCACAATAGTTGTTGTTGGGAACAATGAGATTCCCAATGCGATTCAGTCCCTTGGCTCGTAAGGCAGCGCCAGAAGCGGAAAAGGAGCCCAGATAAGTGGGAGCCAAACACTTGATGAAGTCCTCCTCAACTCCCCCAGCAGTGGTGACAATCGCTGAGACGTGACGGTGCTGGACAAGATAGCGAAAGGTGTCACGCAGGCCTGATGAAATCATATTGGAGGTGTATCCTAGGAAAATGGTGGTTTTCTCTCCTGAGTCGGGATCTCTCCATGATCTCTGTGCGCCGTCAGAAATCCTTCACTTTTCAACGGATAAATTACCAGAAACAGACCATATCGTTAATAATACGGATGGCATCGCCTATCGAACTAGATTGGAAACCTTGCCCAGTCAGTTGGTCAATAAAATTCGATATTACAGTCCGTTGTTCCTCTGGTACTGCGGCCCAGTCGATGCCTCGGACCTGTTGAGTCTCGTCAGGAACAGGCTCCGACGCTACCAGAACAGCATCAGTGGCTTTAGCAGGTGGTGCGGATCCCATATTCGACTGCTATGCTTGGTCTTCTTCGTGGCTAATGGGTGTGTGGGAATAGAGGGATGACTCTATCCAGCGCAAGGGGAAAAAAACTGCCTGGTACAAAATGTTTCTCACATCGTGATTCGCTATGTGGTGGGTGGCAGCCTATCAGCCTATCAAACTTGATCAGCCCTGGTTGGAGTCTGGGCGCCCCTGTCCTCGTACGAGCATGTTTAAATCTGGGGCTCTAATAGCGGATGGTGAGCTCGCTAGGGGCCCACGAGCTCTTTAGGGGAACGTTGTTGTTCCTCTCAGGATTAGGTGGTGTGTAAGATGGGCAGTAACAGACCTGTATTGACGTGGTACCTCCTGGGCATTCGAGGGGTAATACTCCTGTAATTGAGCTGACATTAACCCGTAATAGAATTTTTTGGGTTGACGCAATGTCCGTCTTCACGCGCACGGGCAACGGATCGGCGGCAGCGGCTAAGATTTGAGGTGCAGGCAGCTCGGCGGTGGCCCCAGCACACTCGCTGGGTACCTAGTGCCGCCCGCAACGGAGAAGCAACAAGCACCAAGCTCCAAGCGTCTTTTCCTCCCTCTCTCCTCTTCCTCCACCTGCGCTACCTGCACCACCACCACCACAAGCGCCTTTTCCATGTCAGACCCATTCATCTCTTTTCGTCCCTTCTTCCTCCCTGGTCTTTTTCCATCTTTTCCCATCAACTTCATTTTATCCCTACCATTCCAATTAACGCAGCCCGCATGATCGCGCATTGACTCTCAACCTCTAACTACGACTTCGCGATTTACACAACCGCCATTCCGCCGCGTTTCCCTGCCACCCGGGCTTCAAGCACCCATTTCAACCTCAAAACTCTACCTTGCGTTCTCTTCGGCAAATCGAGGTTCAATCCATTTTTCCCACGTATTGCGCGATCGATAATTCACTTTATCTTCCACTTGTCTTGCACTCGTCTTGCACTTGTCCTTGTGTACCTCTATCGACTCGGACAGTGTCGAGGACGCGAAAACCCGGACGACGAACTCGATCTTAATTCACGCAACTGGCCTCAGGGAGCTGACAAAGGACCCTACACTTCGCTCTATTGCTATTCGGTAGTCTTGGCCCCCCAAAGTGCAGAACGCCGCAGATACGCCTGATCAGTGGGCGACTGCGTGGCTGTGGCTTTTCATCTGCGGCGAACGACTTTCCTTTGACAGCGGGAAATTCAAGTCAAACAGAACAGGAACGAAACACTAGCGTGCAAAGACGAAGCCCAGGCATTGTCCAGACAGGATTATCTCAGCCCTTGAATAACCACGCTAACGGACGCCAAACCCACAGTGCCCAAGATCACCTGCATCGATAGGAAGTTCCAACCTTGGGCTGGCCCAGATCGAGGGATCCAAAGGGCCTTAAGATCACGTGATGTGCTCCGCCTCAAGCGATCAGACTCCGGGCCAATAGCATTCACCTTACCTTGAAGGCCTGTGGGGGGGTATGTCGTCTTCAAGATATCCTCCTCCAGCAAGAGATCGCTCTCCACCTCGGTTCGATCGCAGACCGTCCACAAACTACACGCCTACAAGTTCGTCATACAGGGGTCAAGCGGAACCAGGTTTGCTGTCGGCGCAAAGAGATCCTCCTCGAGGTCCAAAGGCTGACTTCCGAGGTGGTGGTGGTTTTCCATTTGCGCCAACCGCGCGTGGAAGAGGTGGAGGATTCGCTCCCCGACCCAACGACACCTGGGAGAGAGATCGTGAAAGGGACCGCGAACGAGATACCCGGCCACCTCCACAGTCTTACCGCGCTCGAGAGGACGACCGCACCGAATGGACTCGGCGTGATCGCGATTTCGCAGTGACCGATCGAACCATTCCTTCAGCGAGAGATACCCGACCATATGTTGGCAGAGAGCGTTCAGCCTCTCCAGTCCGACCCAGGAGGGACTCGCGGGAATCGCTTCCCTCTAACTTTGCTCGCCCCACAGAATCTGCGTCGTCATACTATCCTGCTGCAGGGCGTGGCGGGCTTAGCCGCGGTAGAGGCAGAGGCGATTGGGACCGGGGCAGAGGCCGGAGTTCTTTCGTAAGCGAACGCGACCGAGAGCGAGATTTATTCCACCCACGTAGCCGTTCGAGAGAAAGCCGTCGTGATCGCGAGTTCGACCGCGGTCGGCCCCCCCCTGGGGATGCTGATCGCCCGGACAGGTACGAACGTCGCGATTATGAACGCAGTCGAGAGCCCGAAGTCAGGCCTCGGGACTTACGGGAGCACGATGTGTGGCCAAGGGATCAATCCCCGGCCAGGGGATCCACTGTAAATATGGCCGCTGCTGTTACTACCCCATCTGCCTCCGTCAGTGACCGACCTGGGAAGCCCGACTTCGAGGCAGGCAGACGGCCGTCAGTTGTCGCTACTCCGATTAGTGCGCTCCGTGAAAATCGGCGTGATGGTGACGGAGCGGATTATTTTGGAAGTTCGAGGTTGGATACCTCCCGTCGTGAACCACCCCAACTTCCACAACAACCTCCAACCCCGATCGGCCTTGACTATGGTCCTCCACCGTCCTTGCCGTCCGTCACCACTCCCGTCACAGAAAAGGTAACCATACCTAGGCCGCAAACTGCCAAGACGGAGCAAGGAGCACCTTCTCCAGCTACTTTTCAACCGCCTAGTGGGCCAAAAGCTGGCAGAACAGCTCCCGCAGCAAGTCTCGGCCAGTCTGTCAAAACGCCTCAGCACCAAGAGGCCTGGGCTCGCACTGAGCCTGTGTCGCGCCAGGTCCGGCCAGGTGTAACGACAAGCGCAAGTAACTTATCCATGGAAGGTAGCGCAAAGAAAGACGAGCTGCCCGCCGAACCTAAACCCCCTGCCGCCCCAGCCGCTGACCGTGCTATGCCTCCAAATGTCCCGTCTGGTCCGCGAATGGGCAATACGACTCCCTACAAACACAGACTATCGTCAAGTGAGCCGGCTGGTTCGGGACCTCCTCCAATGGCACCAAGGGAACCTTCAAAACCTTCCGGGCTTGACAATCGACCCCCAGCAATTCCCACGGGCCCTCGTCTCGACCGTGAAGGAACAAGAACAAGCTCAGGGACAGCCTCGAAGATATGGGTCTCTCCAGACTACAAGTCAAAGCCATCCATCATGAACGCGATGAATAAACCATTCCCACTTGAAACTCGGGACAGAGGTCCTATACCAACGGGACCAAGACAGCAGAGCGTGGTCCCACCACACCCGGACAAGACCCGAGGGGCCCATCCTTCTGCAAACTCCCCTCCAACTGCGCCATCGGGACCCAGGGCCTTGATTGCAACAAGCCCTAAAATTCAAGACGTCAAAATGACCCTCTTACCTGCCAGGGGAGCAGCCGACGAGATACACCATCAAGAAGATGTGATAATGTCGGTTCCCGCTTCCAGTGAGGACGACGACGACGAAGCTGGAGATGACTCCTTTGACGAAGAGTACTATGTTGAATCTGAAGAGAGGCACAAACGGGAAATGGAACTACTCGCGACGAAGAAACCACCGTCTCTACTACAGGATACGGTGGTAGTAGCCCTCCTGGTGAAGCTGCAATTTCTCCATATGATATCTCAAGATCCCGTGGCCAAACCCGAGACCACACCGGTGGAAGTTACCAAAGAGCAGGCACCTGTTGCTGTTACTATTCCAACTGGGTTACCATCTCCACAGCAAGTCCCCGAGGAGACTGAGTCTAAGGAGGAAACATTGGCAATAGAACCACCATATCCAAAAGGACGACCTCTCAAGCAGCCACCGGTGAACCCGATACCCACCCCTCCTATCGAGGATTTACCATATCTGAAGTCGGGACCTATGGAGCCAGTTGTCTTTGAAGAATCGGATGATGAAGTCGAACGTGAAGCAGTTTCGATTCTTTTACAACAGGAATTTGAGCGTAATGCTTGGGACTGGAGATCCGAACTTGAAGAAATGCACGCAGAATTCAAGGCCCGATATCCTGTGTGGAAGCAAGAAATCCAGCAACTCGAGCAAGAACGCCGTGAGTCGCAGGCTAGCCCTGCGCCTGCTTCCCCTGCACCGTCAGCGGCGCCGTCAGTCACACCTTCACTAACCCACGAACGTACGAGAGGTGCGCGGAATACGACAGAAGCAGACCTGCAAGCCGCAATTTTGATGTCTCAGCAGTCCCTCAAAGAAGAGGAAGAACGACGCGAGAGAGAAGCAGCTTCCAGCTCTGTGCCAAACTATGACCTGGAGGCAGTGGTTCCGCCAATGTTAAAGCCCGCCGACATAGAACTATCGCAGTTTGAAGAGAGAAATCGTCTCGTCCCAAATGACTTGGCGCTCTACGCTTTTGCCTATCTTCCACCCGAGGATGATTTTACAGAGGAGGAACAATCCCTCTTCATCGAAGCTTACTGTCAAACTCCGAAGAAATGGGGCACGATTGCAGAGTCCATCCCAGGTAGAACATATCAAGAGTGCATACTCCATTACTATTTGACCAAGGCCAAGGCTCACTACAAAGACCTCTTGAGACGATCGCAGCCTAGGAAGCGCGGTCGGCGAGTGGCAGCGACCAAACCCCGTTCAACGGCTCTGATGTCCGAGCTTCTCAATGGTGACGATGCGGAAGCGACACCTGTTCCTGTCACAGACAGTGGGAGGCCAAGGCGGGCGGCGGCACCAACGTTCGGAGATGCTCCGAGTGAAGCGGACTCTTCAACACCCGTTCCACAGTCGAAGAAGCTTACAGCGGCTTTGAAAGACGGTAATTCAGATGGGAGTGCGAAAACCTCGAGGGGTCGCAAGACTGGGACTGCCACGAAGGTGCGGAGGACCAAGGCACAAATACAGGCGGAGCAACAACAACAAGTTCTACCACTGGCCCCCGCTGAAGCCTCGCCGAGCAAAGCTGCGACTTCTACCAAGGCAGAAAGAGGGCGAACGCTTGTTCGTGCCGAAAATGTGCCCATCAGGCCCGATCCTCCTCCTTCCGTTCCGCCAGTGCAAGTGCAGCGGGCAGCAGTTGAAGCAGGTCTCCAGCCTTATCCTGTTGGCGATGTCCCCGCCGGTCCTCCGACAGCTCCATCGTCGGCCGCGGCCTCACCATATTCCAGTTATTGGTCAGTTACCGAACAGAATAAGTTCCCAGAACTTCTTTCATACTTTGGTCGAGACTTCACAGCAATTGCCGACTTCATGAAAACGAAGAGCGCGATGATGGTGAGTCCGCCGCCACTTGGGTCACCCTCGGTGGCTAATAAGATGCAGATTAAGAATTATTACTCTCGGCAGGTCGATGGTGGCAAGGATGAGCTCGAAAAGTTTGGTCAGATGGGAGATCAGATGCGTGAACAGATGCGCGTAGCTGGGAAAGTCGCCATTCCGCCTCCGAGTCCTATTGTAACTTCAAAACGTCGACATGACTCAGCGTTAGGCCCCCTCAGTCGTCCAACTACCCAGGGTGAACAGACCATCATGAATGGTGAGCTTGCAGTCTCAGCAATCAAACCGAGCGTTGTTGAAGACTTTCCAAGAAGTATGCTTGACAGGACAGTCTCCGGAGACATGGCATCTCAACCACACCCGGTCGCACGAGAGGCAATTCGTGAAGTCCCTTTGCCCACTCACCTTCCAACAAAGACCGAGGAGCTCCCAAGATTAGACGGTCGTCCAGCTCTCTTCAGCCATAAACCATTGCACGGTCCCAAAGCTGGCGTTTTTCAGGACGATGTTGGCTTCCAGCCGTCCCGTCAAACTCTCAGGGCACCGCTTCAGGAGCAGTCGCCTCAAATACTCACACAGAGACTTCCAGATATGCCGCGTCCTGAATTAGGTCAACAACCATCAATACCCGCAAACGGCCCTAGCCTTCTAGGGCTGCGAGAGCCTATCATACCCGTGCAGCAGCGATCCCAGGCTCCACCAGCTGTTCCCGTTCAAGTTCAAGCCCATGTTGAAAAGTATACCCAGCCAAATGCTCTGCATCCCAGCCATAGCCGCAACAGCAGCTCGACAACTCCGAGCCACCCGCCTTTAGAGACGCCTCAGGACATGGCTTCTTTACGTCGTATAGACAATCAACATGCACTGTACCGGACCGGCCCGACAGAGTCCCCAGCACTGACACCGATCCAAATTCATACTTCTCAGCCGCCACGAGCTGAGATATCTCATCCTGCTGCTCCGCCGCCTCCTGCAGACACTCCGAAACCCCCAGCCAAACGCTCGAATGTGTTCGGCCTTCTCAACGACGATCCACCAGATCCACCGCCTAAGCGGCCGTCTTTGGAGGCACCGAAACGAGCATCCATTCTTTCTCCACAGATAACTGCTCTTCCTCCAGGTCCGACCCTCTTGCAGCAGCCTCGAAGTCAGCACCATCCTGAAGACTCACTCCTGAACAGAGCGTCGAGAGGCACATATGGGCCCGGTGGCAGTAACGTGCTCTCTGCAGGCAGCGGGCAGCAATCATCGACTGATTATCCCAGCGTATATTCTCCCGCTCCTGTCACCGGCCCCAGTAACGAAGCATGGATGGACCGTTTTGATCCACGCCAGCAGGGAGCCCCCAGCGACCAACGAAGTCACCATCACTCACCTGCACCGAGTCCTTATTCCGTGATTCCACCGACTTCACAGCAGAGCAGTATCCCCTCGCTCCACTCTTTGCGCGTGGATACCCCTCGAGCACCAGAACGAGCTGGAATTGATCACCGAAGGACGCTACTAGGCCAGATCAGCCAAATTCCACATGTACCCTCTCCTCCACCTCAACAACCGACGCAGGCTGTGCCGCAACTACGCTCAGCCTCGACCTCGTCGCATCATTCACGGGTTGCCTCGGCAGGATACTCTGCTTCGCAGTCAACAAGTCAATCTTCGTCCCTCGGTCACCCGACGATTCAGCAAAATCATTCTCACTCGGCGAGCTCAACTCCAGTCTCGAGTCTTCACCACCGACCTCAGTCGTCTCTTGAATTTCCGACTCGACTGACTATCCAACAACACATGGCTCAACAAAACCAGCAGAAGCAGCAGGAGCAGCAACGTGAACATGAAAGACAAATACGTCATCGAGAATTAGAGCGCGAACGGGAACGGGAACGGGAGCAGCAACAACTACCACCACCACCACCTTCACAGCAGCAACAGCAGCAACAGCAACAGCAACAGCAACAACAGATACGCCGGGAGATGTACAGTATGGAGCACCATGCCACTCCTCCGGTGCCCCGTCCAAACCAGATGGCTGCAGCAACTAATCAAGGCCACATGACATTTGCTCAACGCGACATTCCACGGACCTTTACGCCTCCACACACACACGGTGGTGCTCACACTCATTCTCATTCACCGTTTCCGGGCCCTAGTCGTGGTCCCGGGCAAATGGGAACGCCTCATCCTCTTCATCATCCGCATCCACATTCACACCAGCTACACCAACATCAACATCAACATCAGCATCAGCACCAACACCAGCAACAGCACCAGCAACAGCACCAACATCAACATCAACATCAACACCAAGGGGGATCGCTTCCACACCTACAACCTCAAGGGTCAGGCCAACCACCGCCTCATCTGCACCACCCTCACCCTCAAGCGCCGATCCTGCACCCGGGCCAGTCGGGGCACTTTCGAGCAATGAGCCAAGGAGAAGCGAGACGCGACGAGAGGAGGTGAAGAGTGTTGACTTAAAGACCCCAGTGAGCTGTGTCTGCGGATGACATGTACGCGCTGCCAAAGGACTTTTATTTCGCACTGGAGAAGATTCTGTGTTTCTTTATGCCATCTTGGCTCTTCTTTTTCTATGTTGTGTACATGTATGAGTGGATTGGGATAGCTGTAGGACTAGAATCCATTGTCACGAGTCTCTGCGAACAGGAAGGAGTGGGAATCAGCGAGTTATGTTCTTTTCTCGGTTTGGCCATGGGAGAGGATTTCAACCAGTGTCACGCTTCTAGTTTCGCAGTCAGGGTCCAGGTTTAGGGGGGATGGAGACGTTGTACTCGATCCAAGTGTACTGTGTATAGGACAGATGAAAGGAGACTAGCACCTACCTTGTTCAAGGGACAATAAGCCGAAGATTGGTTGTTGCCTGGAATTCGTATCTGAATAAATGTGGCGGCGGTAGACGAAGGATGATGATCTGCACCGCCACAACTTTGAGGCACAGAGGTCCGAATACGTCACCCCCTCAGAAGAGCCAAAGAGCCAAAGAGCCAACGTTTCCCACTGACACCCAAAACGGTGATCAGCGAGAGATTCCTCCCCAAGTCGATTGCTTCGCGCCTGAGTTTCTCGCCTTTCCCTACAGGGCTTACGCGGTCTTTCGCTCGTTAAAGTCGCTCTTCAACTCTCGATGCACCTCCAAATGAACTTGACGATATAATAAGCTCCCTCCTCCTCCTCTATCGGATGCTCCGTAGTCTAATCACAGTCGTTTCACCGGCTCTGATGCGGCACCACATTTCTCACTCTGTCTCGCTCTCGACCTGCCGCGGCTACTTGGGCCATGTGAACCTTAGGCGACCACGATTCCAGAATCATTGAATTTCTGTCAAGCACGGCGCTGTTCGAAGTCAGCGCTCAAAAGATCATAATGACACGTAAAACATCTCTTCCGTATCCCGCCAGTCCCCCACCTCAGCCTCCTTCGTCGAGTTATTACCCAGAGCCACAAGCCAATCTGGTATCGGATTCGACCGATCTCCCTTCCCTACCCTCGTCCTCACGAAGGAATCCGACTGTCGCAGAATCTCCCAGTTTTGAAGACGCAGAGAATCCTTGGTCTGATCTGCGCACGAAAGATCAGACGTCCGATCGACCGCTGCCTGATGTTCTCAGACCAGGGCAACCTCGCTCATCTCCCGGGCTTGTCAGCAATCCCCAGAGTCATGCTCTCTCGAATATCCCCCAGATTCTACGAGCAGGTCGCTCGCAGGAAGATACGCCCAGATCATCGTTGGACAGTCAACGCTCCAAAGACTTCTGGGAAGATTCGGACGAAGGAGAAGGTGGCCGAGGGAAGAGCCCAAAAAGGGGACAAATTGGGCTCCCGGATAACGATTTGCATGCGGAGCCATGGGTCGACGTAGAGCCGCCTGAGCAGTCTACTGGGATCAAGAGGAAACCCGTGGGTTGGGGTCTGTCGCCTGCACAATCAAGACCCGATATACCCACCATGTCGGCTTTCGCTTCGAATAATCCCTTTAGACGCCCTTCGGATAATGCTTCAGGAGACGAACGGATCGCACTCTCCAATGGAGACCAGAATGTACCTGAAGCAGCGGCGGAGGGCAAAGAGATGGATCGAGGGCATGCTGCGGCCCCAGTTGACCGTTTTCAAGGCTTCAGTGGTGGCAGTGGCACGATATCGGGCCCAACCTATAATATCAAGCAGGATACCCAGACACCAGCAGACTCATGGGGGATCAGGCATCAGATGGGACAGCCTCCCATGCCGCAAGCTCCTCCTCCACCTCCACCAACAGAACCCCGATCACCGTTCAGTGAACAGCCACCACTTATACCAGTGTCTCCTCAACATGATTCAGTCGAGAACCAAAACCCTTGGGCCTCGAATGTCAACCTTGTACCTCCCACTCCGTCTCCGATTCCGTTCTCTCCTTCTCAAAAACAAGTATCAAATTATAATAGCGACCTTTTGGACCGTGGACAGCAGAGCGGAGTTGTATCCCTCAAGGATGAATTAGAAACACTCCCCAATGCTGCTCAGGCAGGCGTCCCAACAAACGATGAACCCTCATTGCTAGAAGACGATGAGTCCCGGCCTCCCCTGCCTCTCAGACCGCCACATCGTGCAGAGACTGAGTACTACGACCCGCCCGAAGGACCACCTCCACCCAAACCAGTCCGACCGACAATACGCACAACTATTCCCTCGGACGAAGATGTCGCCAAAATGATAGAGCAAAGGAACGAAACATACCAAATCAAGCATTTTAATTGGTTCGATCACGGCTCTCGGAAACTGAGAAGATCTTCGATGTTAACCCAGAATAAAAATGGACCGTGTCCTCTTTTGGCGTTGGTGAATGCTTTGATCTTAGGAGCGAAACAGGAGTCTCAGGCGGCACTCGATGAAGCTCTTCGGACACGTGAACAAGTGTCGCTTGGCCTCATTATTGAAACGTTGATGGACGAACTCTTGTCGCGAGGGTTTGACGCTGTGGGAGAAGTCATGCCAGACGTGGATGAACTGAACCATTTCTTGATGCGCTTGCGAACAGGTATGAACGCCAATCCCAGATTCGTACCGCCTTCACAGCCGGCGCCCAATCTGATGGATGCGGATGACTCTTTGCTGAATATGCCGCAACTGGAACGTGCGAAGCAAAAGCTAGGGACGTTTGAGGCCACGCCAGACATGAAACTCTACGGGGCTTTCCAAGTTCCCTTGGTACATGGCTGGCTTCCTGACCCGGGGTCCGAAGCCGCAAAGGCGTTTGCACGATCTGCGCAGACATACGAAGATGCTCAAGCGCTCCAGTTTGGGGAGGAGGAATTGGAATACAAACTCACGACCCAAGGATTAACGACCACTGAGCAAAACATGTGGGAGGACATCAACGCCATCAAAAACTTCTTCAAGACATATCCCACCCAGCTGACTCCTTCTGGCCTCGAAGCTGTTCAAGATTCGATCCCATCAGGCTCCTTTGCCATCATGTTCCGCAATGACCACTTTAGCACGATCTACAAGCACCCTGAAAGTGGTCAAATTTTCACTCTGATCACAGATGCCGGTTACGCGGACCGGGACGAAATCATTTGGGAAAGTCTCGTGGACATCAGCGGCAAACACAACGAATTTTTCTCGGGTGATTTCATGCCCGTCAGTCACCATGACGGTGGAGACGAGTCGTCAACTCATCCCGCTGCGCGACGGTCGTCACAGCTCTTAAGCGTCAGCAATGTGCCTGCGGCTACACCTCTGTCTCCGCAAGAACAACAAGAACAACACGACGCCGACTTTGCCATGGCACTACAACTGCAAGAAGAAGAGGAACAGCGACAACGTGCGGATCGAAATAGACGACATGGGAGCAACACAGGTTCCTCCAGCACGCAACCACGAAGATCACAGACAGGGAACATTCCGATACCTCTTCGCTCCACGCAGCCGCCACCCGAAGTACGGCCCCCGATTCCACCTCGCGTCTCGCGCGCACCCAATCCAGGCGTCAATCGTCCATCGGATGCCTTGGCTGAGGATGCACCCCCCGCATATGAGGAAGCAGCTAAAGGCAGACCATACATTCCGCCACTGGGCAGCCCATTGCATCCCTCGTCAGAACCGTCTCCCATGAACTCCAACACGCAGCTGACCGGGACCATCAGTAACGTCAGCACCCATTCGGCCTCAGGAATGGTTGACACTCCTTCCCATCCACCAGGACCAAATGCGGGCAGGAGGGAACCAAGACGCCGGACGAGTGCATATAATGAGATGTCTCAGTATTACACCAACTCGCCGCAAAGGTTGCAGCCACCACAGGGAGTGTCAGGGCCTTCTGGAAGAGGAAGGCATGGACAGGATCGAGATTGCATTGTTATGTAGGTTGGAGTGAGGTTTTCAGCGACCATTCGACCAGACGTCAAGAGTTGTAGGGAAGGCACATGGTTATTTCCTCGGTTTGAGACAGCGTTTGAGATACCGAATTTGACGAGATACGGAATAATGAAAAGTTGACCATTCGCGCCCTCAGGTGTGCATTGTGAAGGGTTTCTCTGATGGTCCCAAACTCAGCGCCATATGGATGAGAGCCCGATGACTACCATCATGATGGAGCTAACCTATCAAAATAAGAAAATGAAGGGAATCCTTTCCAAAGATACACAGCCCTAAAGGTTCACAGGAGGACCTCCTTTCCGTTACGTTAGGGCGAGAGAAGACGCCCCGTACAACTGAACCACTAAACATGCTCTTGTCGGGGAGGTCCTCCAGCCCATCATCTGGCAACAAGGAAGAGCAAATGGCGAGTCCCAGCTACTAAATCATTTCAAATATCTGATGCGGAACAGAGTTCGCTGTTAGACGAAAGTCATGGGTAGCCAGTGCCTACGACGGACTCGTGAGTCACTAGAGGGCCTTGTTACTATTTCGTAGAAGTTGTAAAGGAAGGTCCGCGCCGTTCCATTAACCCTCCTATAACCCTTTATCTCTCCTACACTTTCATCTCACTTTCGACTTGGATTTGATTATCATGTCTCAAAATAAGGATATCTCCGAAGAAAGTACTTCGACTACGCTTTCTGAGGGTCTTACTCGGTCGCTTGTCCTAAAACAACTACTCGACAAACAGGTTGCTACGGAGATTCTCAAGCGAACACTATCAGTTGGGTCAGTACAGTCAACTGCCTCAAGCTTTGCGGAGCGTATGAAGGCAGCTGGATTCGATAACCGCCCCGATCTGCGAGATATTGGGCGAGGCACCTGCGGTAGTGTATTCGAGATTCCAGGGACCACGCAAGCTATCAAGAAAGGCGCAAATGCCGACTCGATCTGGACTGACTTCTGCTTGACGAACTGTGCCTACAATAGCTACCTTTCCTGGGCTCGTTTGCTAGCAGAAAACTTCCCTGGACGTCGCACACCGCGAGTGCCTCGAGCACGGAATTTCCACGGGCCTGAGGCCCACGAATTCTGGACTGCGAGCATTTCAAGGTTCCCCAAGGAAGACCAGACTACAGCCGCAGTATTCTACCTCGATCGCATCTTGCCAGTACCTTCCCTTACGCGTGAAGCCCTCATCCGCCAGTTCTACCAGGACGACAAGCAGGTGCAGCACGATGTCCACATCCACCCTCCTAACAGAGACTGTCTCATCCGCGTCTACTTCGGTGAGAACAAGCCGGATGCCACTCTCTACGGCCCAACGGACTCGCTTCGAAATTTCCCTCTCTACCTGGATCAAGCAAAGATGGTAGGTCTCAACGTCAACGCATATGCGGAAGAGATGGCCATGGGACTCGCTATTCTACACTGGCAAGCCCAAATTGACGCACAAGACACCGAATTCGTCATTGGCAACTCGACAGTGAATCCATTTGCTGCGCAACGCCCGTATCCTACGATTTTCAAGCGTCCGGTATCGTCTATGGACAACTTCAGCCTACGAGAAACCCAAATGTGGATGTTAGATTTTGACAAATGTTCCGCAGTTGACCTGCACTCGAAGAACCTGTCGTCAGATATAGTCCGGAAGTACCTTGTCGCCGTTACCGGAAACGACCCTTACTTCCCACACCCTCGTCGCGATCCCGATCTCTGGCAACAATTCCGCAAAGTCTACCTCCAAGCAAGTGAAATCATTATTACGACCCGGCAACAACTGAAGCCGCTTGTGGCAAAGCTTCCCGCGATGTTGATAAAGCAGTGGGAGCTATGGGGCGATGAGAACATGGCAGCGGAGGAATTTGACCCTTTTGAAAGAAATTCTGGTCAAGAAGTGGAGGAGGAGGAAGAAGAAGAAGACGAAGGAGAGGACAGTGATGACAGTGAGTCAGAGGTTGATGATGGTGAGGGCGATCCTGGAGAAGACAGTCCGGAAAGCGACGCATGAGGATCTTTGCGTTGTGTGACTTTCAAGTCGCGAGCCAATCATGCGGTCAACAATCCGAACTCACGAATCGGCAACGACGTTGTGGGGTGAACATCGAGTAACACCTGGTGGAGCCTTGCATGTTTTAACGCCTCTTCTGTTTGCCTGATATACGTCTCGGTATGCTATTAGTCTCTCTGTCAGTGGACACAATGGTATGAAACCTGCGATTTGGAGCGACACGGATCAATCACATGGCTATTAGAGGGTGGTCAGGAAGCAGAATACCCTGGCACAATCCACCAGGAAATGCTATATAAAGAGCACAATTCCTCTTCACATCCCAGACTTTGTCCTGTCTTCCATCTTCCATCTTCTATACTTCCGATCTAACAAGTGAATCTCCTTCTAATTTGCTCTCAATCTCCATCCAGAGCCATCAAGTATCGTATCTTGTCTACCATGACAACTCCTACTGCAACCACCCATCCTGACTTTGGCGCCACCACGGATGGCCTCACCGTGGCCGCCGCTTTCTCTGGAGCCATCAAGGACCGCACGATCCTGATCACGGGCGTCAACAGAAAAGGCATCGGCTACACCACGGCCGAGTCGTTTGCGTCGCAGTCCCCACGACTTCTGATCCTCGCGGGCCGCTCTACGGCAAAACTCCAAGAATGCATCGACGACTTGAAAGCGGCTTACCCAGATGTCGGGTACCGCAGCCTGCAGGTCGACCTTTCGTCGCAAAAGTCGGTGCGCAAGGCGGCGGCCGAGGTGCTGGCGTGGACGGACGTGCCGGCGATCGACATTGTCATTAACAACGCCGGGATCATGAACATCCCCGAGCGGACCATGACCGAGGACGGTGTGGAACTCACCATGGCGACGAACCACGTGGGCCACTTCCTGCTGACGAACCTGATCATGCCCAAGATCCTCGCCGCAGCCTCGGGGCAAAAGGGGGCGGTGCGGATCGTCAACCTGGCCAGCATGGGCGTGTACGTGGCGGCCGTGCCACTGAGCGACATGGGCTACGAGCGGCCGGTGCGCGAGCTGCCGGACGCAGAGAAGCCCAACCTCGCCATCATGCAGGCGCACAACCTCGTCGTCGACGACACCATGTCCTACATCCCCACGGCGGCGTACGGGGCGAGCAAGACGGCCGCGGTGCTGTTCAGCGTCGGCCTGAACCAGCGACTGTTTGAGAAACACGGCGTGCTCAGCGTCGCCGTCAACCCGGGCGAAATCCAGACCGAACTCATCCGCTACACCGACCCGGTCGTGCGCGACACCATGCTCGCCGCCGCCGCCGAGAGGGGCCTCGTCTGGAAGACCCACCAGCAGGGGTGTGCCACGACCTTGGTCGCCGCCCTGGACGACAAGTTGGGTCTTCCGAGCGAAGACGACGGCGCCGGCGCCTTTCTCGGTAACTGTCAGATCCTCAAGGCTCCCGGGTACGCGGTCAAAAAGGACATTGCGGAAAGGTTGTGGAAGTGGAGTGAGGAGGTGACGGGCGAGAGGTTTTCTTGGTAGGAAACTGCCTACCCAGGGTACCTACCTGGGTACCCGGGTACTGTAGGTAGGTAGAGTTGCTGCGTGCAAGGAGAATGGAATGAATAGAATGAACGGGGGTTTTCTTCTGGGTGATTGTGATTTGGATCATTTTCTTTCCTGTTCCTGTCCCTGTCTCTGGCCCTAGAAGGGGTAGGCTGTAAGAGAGGAGAACAAGACAACAAGAAGAATATGGCCTGGTAGTCTGGGTGCCCGAGTGAGTCGTACTGTATGTAGACAAGGTGGTGGAATCTCCCCTTCATCAACCTCATTTGCTTGATTCCAACTGTGGTTCCTCTGTTTCGTTTCTTCTTTTCGCTAAATGTCATAAGGTAGGTATCAGGTATGTCGTCGTCGCCGTCGTCGTCGTCGTCATGCGTGCTTGTTCCTCCATTCTCACTCGTCAAACTTCAACTGAGCACTTTGATCCCCGCACCCGTGAAGCCAACATGAGTATACGCGGCACGGCCTTGAGGTTGAGCTGACTCTACCTCTGCGTCTACCCCCACCGCCGCCGCACCAACCTCCCCCTCGCCGACATACGTGACGACAACGTCCCCGACATGGCGCGGGAGGGGATCCGCGCCGGCGCGGTCCTCGTCGTCCTCGATCAGAGCGTCGAACCGCTTGTCGCGCGTCACCCGCAGGATCGTCGAGAAGTTGTTGGTGTAGCTGACGCCGTTGCGGTACAGCGCCGTGATCCCGCAGGCCAGGCACGCCGCGGCCAGGGCGATGACGACGCTGTACGCGACGATCAGCGTGCGCGGGTTGTACGAAAAGGTGTTGAGTGAGCGGTGCAGCGTGGCCGATGTGGCGATTTCGGCGTTGAACTGTTTCGGGGTGCCTGTTGTTGATCTATTCGTCGCGACGCGGATTAGCCAAGAAGGAGACTCTAGCCCCCCCCAAAAAAAAGACTCCCCCCAAGAGGCATGGGGGCTTGGGAGGATGGGAAAGACGAGACTGTGAATTTGACTCACTCTGGCACCTCCCCGAAGCGATAACTCAGGGTAAAGTTCTCAAACAGACTCTCCAGAGCGGCCGTGAAGTCGCTCAAGTTCACATGGTCCTCAGAAGGCATGAGATAGGATCCGAGGACTGGGCTGGCCACCAGGCTGCTGAATTGGATAGCGCGCCAGTCCGACACATACAGCGGGCTCGTCGTGGTCGCGCCGATCACGTAGACGACGTACGACTGCATGAGCGTGAGGTACTCGAACATCTCAGCTGCATCAGTCTCCGTGACGTTGCCAGGCAGGGACAGTGACGCTGGGACCGGTTCAAGCAGCTCGCGCGTGGCGGTGATGGTCTGCTGTCCGTCGCCGTGGAGCTCGAAGCGGACGTCATACGAGGCGTTGTGGAGCGAGCACTCCAGAATCTCCAAGTATCCATCGGCACTCGGGATTATCGTCATGTTGTCCGAGAGGTACAGCGTGTGGTAGACCTTTGCCGCATCCTTGGAAATCAGATCCAGGCCCAGGTTGGGGTCCGTGGCGCTCTCCGAGGCGACAATGTTGTTGAAAAACGTCCCGTTCATGTCCGGGCCAAAGGTCTCGAAAGGGTAGAAGGCTGTCCAGAAGAGGAAGTCGCCCGTCTCGTTGATCGACTCTTCCATGGCGGTGGTGATGAAGGAGCGTGTTTCGTTATTCGGCGTGAGGCATTGCACCGCAGGGCCGTGGAAGCTTTGGGTGTACGAGAGGTTCTGGTTCGAGGAGCCCCCCGAAACCGTCAAAAGGCTGGCCTCGACGAGACTGAGCTGCGACAGATAGTTCAACATGGTTGAAACGCCGGGGAATCGCCACGAGCCATCGTCCAACTTATTGAGTCGGTTGGCCAAAAAAGCATCCCGTTGAGCGACGTTGATTCTTACGGCACTGCTGTGCATTTTGGGTCCCACTGAAATGGTCGCAGGCGTAAAAATCGCAGACAACGGTATGAGCCTTGAAAGAGGGGAGAGTTAGATATGGAGGTGGTAAAGTACTCCAAGGATGGAAGGAGTTCATCCTTACCAAGTAGTGGCGGCAGTCAGAGTCAGAACAGGATGGCCGAACCAGAAGCGCAGGTTGAGGAGCTCGAATGGATTCCCCAGGACGCCAAAGAGCGAGTCCATAGACCGCACGTCGACTGAGTGAAGCCTCAACGTACACCAGAAACATTGCGTGAAGGCGATGGATGAGGAGATGGCCAGGAGCACCTTCACCAAAAATGCCAGGACAAGCCCGGCCGAAGTGACCACCTGCTGCTCAACGTCGAATGTGATGGCGCGCCCGTCGACGCACAAGTACAAGACATGGTGTGACACTGCGCCGATGAGAGCAGTGATGAACGACGCGACCATCAGTGTCGGCGCTCTCCAGTGGATGCGTCGTGTGCGGGCAGGGCGCATCTTCACCAGGGAGGCATCGGATGGCAGGACTTCGGTGTCAGTCTGGTAGACGTGCAGGGAGTCTTGATACGTCCATGCCATTGCTGGAGAGACGTGAAGCGCAAACAACTGCGACGAGATTAGGTACAGGATATCTGATGAGATGCAGCTCGCTCCATCGCAAGTCAAGTAAAAACTCAGTCGCCATGTTTATTGCTCGTGGTGTACAGTTCAAGGAGGGGGCGATATCTGGTCGGTGCGCTGTTTAAGGCAGCCCATTCAAGATAGTCGTCAGTGACTCAGTACCATATAGGCAGATGGGATCGAGGGTCTTGGTTTCAGATGCCAGGAGTGGTGGGAGGTCATGTATCATGATTTGTTAATGACCAGGATAGCCGCGATCACTGAACAGGTGAAGTTGATGCTAACCAGGTTTGCAACGGCCAGAGGGGGCCAGGAATAGCAACAAGGCAGGTGGCCTTAGGGCGCTCTGCGTGAAGAAGGAAATATGTCGTCGAATATGGCGATGGCGATTTACGCGAGTGGAAGTTGAAACACAGACATGTCTGGCGCTTAATTGGGGGGGTTCAGCCTTGTGGTCTTCTACCCGGACAAGGTCGGGTCAGCCTTGTCGGAGAAGTCGATTCTGATTGGTCCCTCGGCAAGGCTACCAAGCCCTCCGCTATCGGAGCGGATAAATTGCCGAGCATCTGTATATGAACTCCACCAAATGCTGTTTACCCAAGGATAACGACTCGTCTGTGTGTGGAGAAGTCGAAGGTCTTTGGGGATCTCCAACTTCTTCCTTCTCTCCTCCTTTGCTGTATCATCGCGCTGTCGTTTGACCTGAGGAGAACGTCTGTGGTAGAAAAACCCAAAGCTTGAGCCGATGTCCTGGTGGAAATCCCCAACCGTCTGGAACAGTTTCCGCGGAGTTTCCAAAGCGGTTGTGAGATCCAAGCACCAGAGCCACTTCAGCATAGGAGGATTGGCATCAGTCCGTGATTGTTCCATCCCTCGACCCCGTTTCAACGCCCAATTTCGTTGCCAGCTATCAAGCATGGCGGCCCCGGCCTCCAACTCTGCGCAGACATTCCGCGTTCTCGTCCTCCCCGGCGACCATGTCGGCCCTGAAATCATGGACGAAGCCTTGCGAGTTCTGGACACTGTCGAAATCGCCTCCCAGGGCCGGCTCAAGTTCGAATTCAACCACCAGATATGCGGCGGATGCAGTATCGACAAGCACGGGACGCCTATTACGGATGAGGTGCTGAGGATTGCAAAGGAAGAGAGCGATGCCGTGTTGTTTGGGAGTGTGGGCGGACCTGAATGGTAAGTCTTATTCCCCCTTTAATGTCAGCTTTTCGTCGCTGGTTGCGTTTCATTGCTTGGAAACTGAGCGCCTGATAATGACATTCCGTGAAGGGGAACGGCCTGGCCAAACCCAGAATCTGGTCTCCTGCGTCTCCGCCAGCACCTCGACACTTTCGCCAATATTCGCCCCTGTACATTCTACTCCCGCTCGTTGCTGTCACTCTCCCCTCTGAAAGCTTCTATCGCTGAGGGCACGAATTTCATCGTCCTGCGCGAGAACTGCAGCGGTGCCTACTTCGGTACCAAGGTCGAAGAAGCCGACTTTGCCAGTGACTCGTGGGCGTATCGACGGGACGAAGTCGAACGATGCGCACGTGTTGCTGCTGCCCTGGCTACGACCATGGGCAAGGACGGCAAAGGCAACGGAGGGCCGGCGACCGTGTGGTCCAGCGACAAGGCCAACGTGCTTGCATCGGGCCGCCTGTGGCGCAAAGTCACCTCGGAGGTCTTCGCCAAGGAGTTCCCTAACGTCGAGCTGAAGCACCAATTGGCCGACAGCTTGTCGATGCTGATGGTTCGCAACCCGAAGATGTTCAACGGCATCATCCTCACGGACAACACCTTTGGCGACATGCTGTCTGATCAGGCCGGCGGCGTGGTCGGCACCCTGGGTGTCTTACCCAGTGCCAGTCTCTCTGGCATTCCAGACGGAAAGACTCGATGCAACGGCATCTACGAACCCGTGCACGGATCGGCGCCAGACATTGCTGGAAAGGGCATCGCGAACCCCGTTGCTCAAATCCTTTCGGCGGCCTTGATGTTGCGGTATTCGTTCAACCTCACCGCTGAAGCCGCGGCCATCGAAGCTGCAGTGGCCAAAGTTCTCGACAGCAAGGACATTGGCGGCTTGGAGATCCGAAGCGGCGATCTGGGCGGAAAGGCAAAGACCAAGGAGATCGGTGATGCCGTGTGCAGGGTTCTCGAAGAGCTCCTGGTGAAGCCGCAGAGCTCGTAATGGCCGATGCCATTGGAAGTCGTGATACCGCGAATTGGCAAATGGCGGCTGGGCAGACAACCACCATTTCGGACAAATGAAGGGCAACAACCAAAAGAAAACGGAGAAGGAGGTTGGGGAAAGAGAGTGTTTATACAACTTCAAAGATATTTCGCCTTGCGATGCTGGAGCTCAAAATTAGGGGGCCAAAAAAGAATGATTGTCTGTCCATCTCGTGGCCAGCACAAGGCTGTTCCACCCACAGAAGCGACTCGATGTGTTCCATGCGTTTATGCGTCGAAGAGTTCACTTTCTTGGACGCTATCTCAGAGGACATTAGACAAGACGATATACTTCTTCTCACCAAGCATGCCCTGTAAGGAGCGTAAGATGTGCAGATACCTCCAGCATATCAGCACGTACATGAGACTCTGCGGTGTAGCCTTGTTCGCACGTTGGAGTAACTAGGGGAGAGGTACTTCTGTCAAGGCATTTAGACAGCCTGGACAGCCTGGACGAACGAACCGGTTCCCGAAACGGCTCCTGTTTTTCAAAGCGTCAACATTAGCACCCACTAAACCGACCAGCCACTATCCCAAAACATGGAGCTAATGAGATTATCTATCGATGCCACCGACCAAAATCTGGCGCCATGGGCAGGTGGCCACGTAGTCAAGACTTTTCAAGAGTCCATTAGTCCGTCTTGTGTCGGGTCTAATGAGGTCCAAGGCTGAACTAGTAGAACACTAGTATCTGTTGAAGTCTTGGTATTCGTCCCTCCCTCCGGAAGGGTAGGTTGGGAGACAGGCAAGGAGTAGATACCGACATTGTGAGTATGGTACATACCTTCAGGGGTATCTATGCGGAGTACCGAGTACTTGATACTGTATATGCCGCATCATGTACACTGTCGACGTTGGGCCCAGACATCGATCCGAAGCCTTCGCCCTCTTGGGATTTGCTAGTCTTGCTGTGGAGGCACCATCGAGGCGCCCAGGTTCAAATGCCTCTGCGGGAACAAGGGCAAGGACAAGGACTGGATCTCGTACCAAGATGAAGATTCCGTGGACTTCATCGATCGTCTTGAACGGGAGCTAATCGACACCGAGAAGACGAATCTCACAGCTGACCTACCAGCAGCTCTGCATCATAAAATGACCGTTCGATCGAGAAGATCACAACAGAGAATAAAGAAACAGCAGCAGTCACCCAATCAAGATCTTTCGGACGTGGACAAGAAAAAGTAGAACTGAAGCCGAGATCGAGCCGAGACTTAGCTAGCCACATGTTATGAGCATGAGCAGAAGCAGTCCCAGGTAATGGAGGAGGCTGCCGTGCCATAGCTTTGGACTGGCAGTAGCGTGGTCATTGGGCCGACGAGATATGGCATCGAAGCGGACCAGAAAGACTGCTGGGACTACAACCTCCGCAATTCTTCACTGAAGGCTCAGTAGAGTACCAGCAACGGAAAAACCAGAGACAAGCGTTGATAAGAGCAGGGTATTTTGGGCATCTCCTTTCGTTGGTAGCGGGCTATCTCGACATGACAACCCTGGCGTCTGTCGAGTTGTGTGTATCATTACTCATCACAGGTAAGTTATCGTGTTCGCTGGTCAGCCATGAAAATATCTGCAATGCAACGCCATGCCAGCCTCAGAATTGATCTATCGCCAAGTCAGTGTCCACAGCAACTTGCCGTCAAAGGTCTTCAAAACTCACCCAGCGTCATGCTCATACTAACATCCGTGCTCTCAACCATTTGTGTGAACTCGGAAAAGCTGATCTTGCCGTCGCCATCTTTATCCGCCTCCATGATTGTCTTGTCCACAATCTGCTGCAGTTGTTGATCCTTCAGGTTCGAGCCAACCATCATCTTGAGTACAATGAACAACTCTCCATTGGAGATGTATCCATCCCGGTCAATGTCGTAGACCTTGAAGGCAAACTTCAGCTTTTCTTCTTTGTTGCCCTTGGAGGAGAAGGCAGAAAGGCCAAGCACGAATTCTTGGAAGTCGACGTCGCCGCCTCCATCTTCGTCGAAGATGGCTATCATTCTTGAAGAGAGATTAGCTAGAACCACCCGGGAAGGAGGACAGGCCCCTATACCTTGTCGCTAAAGGGTTCGAGGACACTTGAGGTAGAGAAAGGAACTCTTCGCGTTCAATAGTGCCGCTATTGTCCTATAGTGGCCCCATGTCAATTTCACCCAACAATATACACTGAAGGTATCGATCTCACCTTATCCAGCTTCATGAACCGTTTTCGCAACCTGTCCACCTCATCGCGATCGACTATTGGAGAGGCAGTTGTTAGCACGTGCTGGGTTACTCTCCCTCGTGCGAGAGCCCCTCGACCGCTTTGCAATCTAATGGAGACTGCGACGTACAATTTGAGAAGGAGACAATATTATCGAGGATCTGAGAGCCAGTGACTTGCTGCCGTCTTCGAGCATCGTATAGAGCGGCATTGTTGGGTTCTGCAACGGTGGAGGCTTGGGCGCCGAAGGCTGGCGTAGCCATGGAGGGCGATTGAGGGGTGTGACAATCGCAGTTGGAGTCGTAGGTGTTGTCGCGCTTGAGGGAGGAGCTAAGGGGTTCTGAGGGCTCTATCGAAGGACTCGTCTAGGCGCGTGAAGGTCGAAAGTAGGAAATCGAGTTGAGAGTGTGAGAAGGCTAGTTTGAGAGCTGAAAAAGAGTCTCAAAATTACGGAGTGCCAGGCGAGTTTCAAAGACGTGATGCACATGGGGGCGGCTCTCGCTTCTCGAGGTACCTATTAAACGGTGCCCGATTCGCCCAATCGAGTGAAGCAGCTGAGAGTCACGTGCGGATTGACTTGAACGGGGTTAGCCCAGAGTGCCACAAGTGGCTTGAGATTAATGTGGCTGACTGCAGGGCAAATTTCTTTCCTTCCACAACAGGTTGTGGTATGTTGACTACAGGTGAATTATGAGGTCTGTGAGTGAATGGACTTCAGCGAGGATGACGTTTAGGTAGTAGGTACTTGAAGTCTTAGAATCACCCATCACGCATAACCTTACCTACATATGATGTAAGATATCTTATTGGGAGCGAGATAGAATGTGATATACGGGATACAGTGTGCCTTCATCCCGTCCGGGGTGTTACAGTAGAAATTGGGCGCTGAAGATGGTCGGTCACTGCCAGAATGAGCGCCCGAATAATTTGCCCAGTGTGGTGGTGCTTGGTGTTTGCTTGGTGGTGCTGTCATGGTACTGGGCCCGAGGCCCCCCTATGAATGCCCAAAGTTACTAGCTTCTAGGCTACCACCACCACTACCACCTGAACAACTTCCCGCACCTTGACCCCCCCCTTTCTCACTTCCCAACTGGTGGGTGTTCCGCAACTGGTGGCAGCGCAGCAGCAAAGCTGATCCCCCGTCACTCTGCCCTTGGAGTTTTCACCCTCTTTTTCCCACTGCTTCACCTCCAACTGCACCACCACAACTCCAGCACCCTGCCTGCCATCAAAAGTCATCCACCATCGTCGACCTAATTTTGTCCTTTTCATCACTTTGAAAACGGACTAATAGTCAGAGTGCATCAAATTACTAGTGATGCAAAATTGAGGAATTATCGACCCCGTTTTGCTACTTTTTCACCGTGGTGGTTGACATTGTTGTGGTGCGTGTTGGCGGGTGTGGTTTCACTCCTCCCTCCATGAGGGAGTCACCACTCTGACTCTGAAAAAAATCCTCATGTCCACCACCCGCGGCCGCGCCACCCGCCCAAAGAAACTCAACTCCAAGCAAAATGTCCAGATTTTCCGCGAGGATCAAGTTGATCCTCTTTCCGACTACGATACCCAACGTGCTGCAATAGAAACAGGCGTTGAAAAAGCCGAGGAATCAGTATGTCTTCTCTCGTCCTCGTCACCTCTTCTTCCACCCGTTCTTCTTGTCGCTGTGTCCTCTTCTCCCTGGCTTAGTCATCACATCTTGGCACAACACTCACAGCTTCACAGGAATACCATCTTCAACAAGCCATCAAAGCATCTGAAATCGCCAAAGCTGATGCCAAAATCAAAGATGCTTACATCCCCACTCCACCTACCATCGCCAGTGATGTCCAATATGACGTCCTCTACCCAAGAGGGTTTCAACAACCCGCCACCTATATACGCTCCTCCGCCACGGTCGAAGACTGTGCAGGAATCGCGTATTGCATGGATGAGGAAGACGAACTTGCCTTGAAATTGATCAACGGTAAATTGCCTGCTGGACAGGAGCCGTGCACCGAAGACCAGTTTGAAGTGGTCATGAATTTTTTCGAGGAAACCGCGCAGGCAAAACAACCTTTTGCTGCCGTCGATAGTCCCCCCGTCTTACCTTTAGAAGAACTCGAGGAGCAAATCGATGATACCATCCCTCCTTTTGTCCGCAACCTTTCCAGGTTCATATATGAGCACTGGAAATCACGGCGCTCGGCGACTGGTAATCGTCCATTAGCCCCACGGCTCAAGTTCGAGACTGGCCAGGAGTCCGACGACAGCGATCCATATGTATGCTTTAGACGGCGTGAACTGCGACAAATTCGGAAGACCAGAAATCGTGATGCGCAGAGTGCTGAGAAGCTGAGAAAACTCCGTATGGAGCTAGAGACGGCGAGAAACATGCTGCTGATGGTCAAGCGAAGAGAGCAGCTTCGCAAAGAAGTTCTTGAGGTCGACCAACTGGTCTTCGAGCAGCGGCAGGCACTCCGTGACACAAAGAGGAAATTGGGTATGAAAGGCGATGATGACCTCCTCATCAATCAAAAGGTAAAGCGACCCCGTTCGACAAGAATGGACTTAAACTCACCTCCTCTCCAGAAGCAAAAAATACCGCCAGGCATGACGCCGAATCAAGCCGCCCTCGCCCAGCAGCTCAGAATGCCCATGGCTTCTGGTCCTGGTCCCGAACTGCGCACGCTGGAAGAAGTTGCCAATGCTCGGGAACGTGAAGTGCAAAAGGAGATTCAAACCAACGTTGAGAAACACATCAGATGGAACGAGGGTTTCGTCGACAAGACCATGGCACCTCTTACCCCTGAGCTTGAAGACGATTATCCTTCACCTGGCGAACATTTCCGTGAGGCAATGGCTGCGACTGAATATTTGCCAACACCGCCAGCTAGTATCTCGGATGAAGAGTCACAGGAATTGCCGAATGGGACCGACGTGGTGATGAAAGACGTATCCCGACCATCAACACCTTTTCGATATGCCAGTCCCGCGGATGAAGATTCTGTCGGACATATGCCTTCCTTCAGACGGAGGATAGGTCGTGGCGGCCGCATCATAATTGATCGAAGGCTCCCTCGAGTGCGACGAGACTTCACGACAGATGATTGGTCCAAAGACGATCGGTTCAAATTTGACTCGGACGACGACGATTTCTCTGACACCGATCCCACTGTACCTGACTTAACTTTTGCTCGCATGTCCCAGCGAGCGTATCTGATCGGCGCGAGCCGACCTACCGATGCACAATTACTAGCAGCAAGGAGATCACAGTCTGAGGCCGGAGGCCCAAGTCACTCCTCTCCAGCAGGACAGCATGCGCAAGCCACACCTGCACCTTCTTGACATGTCATGATTATTTTGGATAACATCTTTTCCCTTCTCACTGTCTCAGAGAGTACAATTCACAAGACTCTCTTCTCAGCGTTCGGACGATTCCGGGCTGTTGTTGAGATCCCAGTGGCAACAGAATCGCCCTCGTTGGTGGAATTGTACAATGACGCATCAAGTTCCATGGGGCTCATGAGCTTCCTGGCGGCGAGGTTGAGCCGACAGGGTCATCTGAAGGATGATAGAACTGTACATAGTACCGAGGCCAGCGCCTTCGCAGATGAAAATGATGATAACATCGTAAAATATGTTGTTTTGAAAACCGAGAGTCGTGCGTTGCTCAAGCCTATCACTCCGATGGCATATTGTGGTCTTGAATCGCAGCCGGGTTGAGGCAGAATGCTTCGACTGCTGCTGTCGAGTTTTAGCTGCGTGTTTTGCCTTTCCGCGCTGCTTTTTTGGGGCTTTTGTCCGAGTCATCGTTGATTTGCCGTTTGGCAGGCCTTGCCTTGATCTCTTGGTTCATTTGTGCAAGATGGGCTTGACACAATCCAATGAGCCGGTGGAATATCTCCTTTTCTCCGACTCTGACTTGCAGCGCCATGGCGAATCGATGCTTGTTACAACCAGAGGGAATAAGTCTTGGGTCTGGTTCGGAACGAGCCAGCGCATCCCAAAGAGATCGGTCGGCATCCAGAGAAGTATCGTATTCTGACAGCCTCTTTGTGAAAACAGACTGTAGTAGCGTAGCCTCGTTGATGGTGATGGGATCTTTGTGAGTCGTCTTGGCGGAGTCGAAACACATACCGCGCAAGAGTAACTGTAGTGGTCCCGGTATGGCCTGTCCAAGCTCTTCTACCTCTGGTGGAGGTCTGGGTATGGCATAGCCATCATCGATCCAACCAACTGATTCAAGTTGTTCCGCTCGTTCCAACCATGCCGCATACCTCGCGCAATCTGTCGTGGAATCCTTCACGCAATGCTTCACGCAATGCTTCTTGCGTGCTTCTTCAAGAAGAAGGTCATGGGATATCTCGACAACATCATATTGAGCATAATTGTCGGTGATGTAGCCGTACATGCGGAGGAGATCTGAGCGTGGGAGCGGGCCATAGTCGTTGAAGATCTGTTCGTTGGCTTTGATCCGCTTGGTAGATCTCATGATCAGGTAGTCATTTTCTTGAAAAAGTCGTGCCTGCATTCAAACGTGACAGTCAGTCATTAAACAAAGCAAACGTGTAAAATAAGATTACACACGTTGTTTCTGTCAGCATCTGCGTTGAGCATGTCAGCGAAAGGCACCATCCCTTTGAGTGGCTCGTCGTCGTCGTCGACCTCCATTTCGTCCTCCGAACCATCGTTCGCATCATCTCTGTCATCATCCTTGTCAATGTCAAAAGCATAAGCCATAATAGAGCTTCCTGCCATATGAGCAAGTCTTATCAATTCTTTTGTGCGGTCTGCGTCACTGTGACCAGCAACAGGAAATAGATCAGGATGTGAGAGCATAACCGGCAACATTTCCTCTTTCCAAGACTCTTCAGCGTGGTCCTTCCTGATCTTATCAACCACAGCACTGGCTTGCAACGTTTTGAGCTCTGCATCGGTCCAGAACATGAGACTGTCGAACTTGGTAGGAAGGACTTGGAAATAGGCGTGCCACGGTGACTTTTCGTCTCGCAGGTATTCGTAGATTAAAGTGACAATCAACAGCACCCACTGCCCGGATTCTCTGAGAGGTTCGAGCACCGCAGGTGGAATGCTTGAGGTCGTGGCTGTGAGGACGAGAGACCGAGGAATAGCGAATAACTCCTCATCCTCCTCGATATCCTTGACAGCAACTGGAGAGAGAAGTCAGTTGTTTGCTTTCAGACGAAAATTGGGCACATCAGACCAGCTCCCCTTCCCGCATTCTCGCTCCTCAGATCCTTGAGCTGGACCTTGGGACTCAACCGAGTCCCTTCAGCGGCCGTGAACCATTCGACGAAGTGAGCAGTGGCCTGGTCGAAATCTAAGCGCCTAACTGGTTCTACAACGTCAACCATGGCTATGAAAGAATCAATGTAGTCAGAACCAGGAAAAACAGAGAATGAGAATCGAGGAATGGGTAGTAGTTGTGTGGGAAGAGTAAGTATAGTGGGATGAAGAATGACCGAGATCAGTTGGCAGCCAAGAACGGATCAATTTCATCATCTCCGATTGGCTGGAATGCCTGTCAGCCTCTGGCAGTGGCATAAATCGACTCCGCACTTGCCTCAATCCCTGTGTTTCAGAGCCTTGAGGCGACTTTTTTTGACCACCAGATCATCAGAGTCGAGCATATCTGTGGTTCTTGTGTTGAAATCTGCACCAGTAAAGCGCACGACGAATCGATTCTGGCCGAATCTTGTTCATATGATACCCTCCTGCTTTCCATTGACAATACCACGAAGGACTCCACCGATATCCAGAATTGAGGCTTTCTTCGCGCTGGACAGGAACACATATTGATCATCCGCCGACCATACAAGTGGACTCTTGGATCTGAGAAACGTATAAAGGTTCCGCTTTTCTACCTAACTCACAGCCGTCCTGCCAACCTCTACTTAAACCCGGCGCCGGCATCTTTGCAGTCAACAAGAATTACCGCCACATTCAAGTCGGGTTTGAGTGGAGGCGTCGATTCGCGAGAGCGCCAGGGCAGTTCTGTCACATTTCATCAACATGATCGCGCTCGGCCTAGAAGGCTCTGCCAATAAACTGGGCGTGGGAATAATCCTGCATTCCAAGGACAAAAGGCAGCCGGTGCAGATCCTGTCGAACATTCGGCATACCTATCATGCTCCTCCCGGCGCGGGTTTCCTGCCCAAGGACACAGCCTTGCACCATCGCAGTCACGTCGCGGCCCTGGTCTCCAGCGCCCTCCGTGAGGCGAACCTCACCCCCGCCGACATCGACTGTATATGCTACACCAAAGGGCCCGGCATGGGTGCGCCGTTGCAATCCGTCGCCCTGGCCGCGCGCACGTTATCTCTCCTCTGGGGAAAACCTCTGGTAGGTGTGAACCACTGCATCGGACACATAGAGATGGGCCGATCGATCACGGGCGCCACAAACCCGGTCGTCCTCTACGTCTCCGGCGGAAATACCCAGGTGATAGCATACACGTCGAATCGGTACCGCATATTTGGCGAAACGCTCGACATCGCGGTGGGGAATTGTCTGGACCGGTTCGCACGCACCTTAAACATCCCCAATGATCCGGCACCCGGGTACAACATTGAGCAACTCGCCAAGTCTGGCAACATCCTGGTCGACTTGCCCTACGCGGTCAAGGGGATGGACTGTTCATTCTCCGGCATCCTAGCACGTGTCGACGAGTTAGCCACCCAGGTGAAGAACGCAACCTTGAAGGATCCGAATACAGGAAACACAGTCTCACCAGAGGATCTCTGCTTCTCGCTGCAGGAGACTGTCTTTGCGATGCTCGTCGAAATCACCGAACGTGCCATGGCACACGTCGGCTCAAACCAGGTCCTGATAGTCGGAGGAGTCGGATGCAATGAGCGCCTGCAGGAAATGATGGGCACCATGGCGAGGAGTAGGGGCGGCGACGTATATGCGACGGATGAGAGATTTTGTATCGACAACGGGATTATGATTGCGCACGCGGGATTACTCGCATATCAGACCGGTTTCACGACGACGCTCGAGGATAGTACATGTACGCAACGATTCCGAACCGATGATGTGTTTGTTGCATGGAGGGATGAATGAGTCTTTTCATCAACTCGAATGAACCCAAACGACTCTATATTGTGATGACTCTGACATGTCTTCAGAGTGGAGACAGGCTGTGTGATATCTGCTGTCACACAAACTCCGTGGCGAGCACCACCCTGTTACACACTCCCAACTAGTGTTTATGAATTCATCAAACGCTCAGCAATGTTTTGAAACCGACCCATATCCATCAAGTCATCAAGAAAAGAAGTCCCGCGACGATTCGTCATTCCGCAGTTTGCGCCCTGGGAACAGGCTTAAAGGAGATCGTAGTCACATACTACACATTGTCAGCAGCCATGCCAGTACTGGGTCCACTCAATACGTACCTTCTTCTTGTATCGGGTCGTCACACTCGTTGCAAGAACACCATTCTTCACGCTACTAGTCATGAGATGGTTCAGGACGGTATGGTTTGGAAGAGTCAGAACGCTGTTATCGTCCTTGACCGGCAAAATACCGTTCAAAATAGACCGGCTCAGAAAGAGTGGTAGGGCTGGTGGATTGCCTAGTTCCTGGATGATCTGGCCCGCGGCCTTATATTTCGGGTCTTCCTCAGCCAGGTCGACATCGATCAGGTATGGTGGAACGACTTGACGCCAGTCACCCATTGGAATTTCCTCAAGATGTGGCTCTTCCACATCGGAGTCTTCAGGTGTTTGCTCTCCGGATTCGGTTTGTTCGCGGTGTTCCTCTGGTACTAGTGATGTAGCCTTTGTACCAGGTTGGGTGCTCTCTCTTCTGGGCTTTGTGACATCTTCCGTAGCAATTTCAATGTAGTTGACTAAGAAATTGTTGAAGTCAACTGCTGTTGGTAGCTCGGCACTGGTCACCATTTCTCCGTCCACCACAAACTTAAGATGGTGGGTTCCTGATGGGAGGTTGATGGTGGTGAACATGCCAGGCGCATTCTTCCTATAGGGCAAGTATTAGCATCGGAAACCATACAGTTAAGAGCAACGACATCAACATGGGCAAGTATTGATCCCTCGATTATGGGGGAAATGGATGACCCAGTTTGGCAACCCCATAGCAGTCGAGACCAGAATGCAAGACAACAAAGAGACAATCACGGCAGGGCGACCTACCTCGGATGCAGTCTGTATTTCTTTTCCCAATTGGCAAAGGTTCCCGTAACGTAAACCTTGTGCCCGCCTTGATTCCATTCAATCACAGTCGGAACAGTTTGAGTCGTTGGGTGGACTGCGTAGGGCTGCAGTTCTTCGCCAACCTCATCCTCGGATTGTGTGTTCGTGCTCAGCATAGAACTTCTTCTTCTCAACGGAGGTTCCCCAGTGGACAGAGGATCGTCAGTCTCGAATATCGGGACGTCGGCGTTCCCCTTGTCAACAGGCACTAGAGTTGGTGATTCCGGTATTGGTACATCAGCAATAGGCAAAGGAAGGCGAGGAGGTCGAAGTTGAGCCACAGGTGCATAGTGTCGATCTTCATATGCGTGACCCTCGGGAAAATCCTCTGGCTTCTGATCAAAGCGTTCCTCGATGGTTTCTTGTTTACTTCGAGACATGGGTACATCCATGGGACCCGAAGGCTGTGGGACAGCAACCGGTGGCAGGCTCGGGTTCTGATGTTTCTGTCTGTATTCCAGCTCATTCCTCTTCTCTCGAGATGTCCTCGAGGCGGACCTCTCGATCTTATTGGTTCTGGCATGAGAATCAGAAGCAGAGGCCTGAAGGTACTGCTGTAACGCGGGCTTCTCGAGATGTTGAGAAGTGGTTTGGGCGACAGCGGTGTCTTTCGTAGCAGAAGCGTCAACGGGTGTGCCTCGACCCTGGGAGAGAGCTTGAATGGAAACCCTTTGGTTGATCTTGCGTTCTCTTTCAGCTTGCGGCGTGCCAGATCTGGAACCCGAGCTCTTCTTATCCTCTGCCGATTGTTGTTGGCCCATGGTGAATGATGAAGTCGATTTGGACAGCACGAAATTCAAGTGTCGTGCGACACCTTGCGGAAATGGGTAGGAAGGGAGAAGGCCAAGTCAGGGAGATAGGAAGTCGGAGCGGAATTTTGTTGGCTCCAAGTGTATGAGCATTCGGTGTTGTGTGCCCAATTCCAAAAACAAGAGATAGACCACAGCCGGCCGGGTAGGAGTGTCAGCAGATTGATGGATATGTGGACGTGCCCTCCGAGCTCTGGTGACGGTGGGTTCGAGGTTGAGAGAACCCTGAGTGAAAGACAAAAAGAGGGGCTCGAATCAAGCGGGCAAGCAGCGCAGGTGAAGTGAAGGCTGCGCTAGTTCAGGCTGCTTTCGGCCCGGAGTGACGAGTGGATGCCCGCTAGAAGAGCGTCATTATAGTTAAAGCTCCAACTAATTCCAGGAACGTTTGCGGGGGAGCGAGGCGTCATCAGTGTGTTAGAGTAACTAGCACGCGTTAAAGGAGCATCTTCCTGACTGATTTGAGGCTCAGCTCTAACATACAGGTAAACAAAAAATTTCAACCAAATGCTGGAGCTCCCTCAATTGTTGCACAGCACCTGATTTCGGTCACGGCCCCTACGATCTCTCGACGAGGATTTGCCAGGTGCCGCGTCTTCGCTATGATTCAGCGACTGGTCCAGGAATGAATGCTACCAGCGACTCGAGTTGGCCGACATGGCTCTCAGTCACCGGAGTCGTCCTCTCGTACACCCTCACCATCTTCTCCCACGCGCTGTATCCTGTCTTATTTCTCTTAAGAGCAATATGGTACATTCTAGCGTCTCTATCGGCGCCTTTTATTTACATGGGGCTCGTCATCGCTGACGCTTTGCTGCTTCCATGGCGCATTTTCGCTGCTTTCGAGGTCTGTCTCCCATACCTGGCGCCTTGATTGCCCGAATCAATTGCTGACTTTCACCCAGCCGCTTTGGTACTTTCTCGGGAGTGCGATTCTGCTGGGCCTACTACTCGCTATTGCCTTACATTTCACCATGCGCGCCATTGTTGTTGTGTTCCGCCTTGATCACAGCGTTTCGCGGCCGATTCCAGCCAGGGGCCACGATGCCGTCTCATACAGAAAGGCAAGGGAAGCAAAGAAAAAGAAACAACTAGAGGAACAACAGCGACTAGCTGCCGAGGCCCGATTGATCGCTTCGCAACCCCTCTTACAGGAAGTGGTTCGGGAGGCCAGAAAGATGCCCTTGTCAGGTGCAGTGCCTGCGGCTTCGCTGAGCCCTTTAAGCCCAAGGAATACGGCACCAAGCTGGCCGGGTCTTTTGCAGCAGACGATCCTGGAACATAGCGACGAGGACAACAGTGATTCGGAATTCAGCGGCGAATCTGCACTTCCAAGCCATTCTCTTGTTATACGCTGACGTTCCCTGGCTGTGAAGGTCCCGGGTTGAACGACAAAATGTCAACTAGTGAGTTCATGTGCATCACAGTTGCAGCTGGCGATCGTCCGAGCCTGGTGCGGGCACCTCCAGGTACCTCGAAACTTACCCAACCACTTCGACCTCTGCTGCATCGTCTAGGTTTGGAGCCTGACTTGGCGCGTGTGTTGTCGCGCCCCTGCGCCGTCAACGGCCACATTGGTTCTCGGGCAGTTCTTGCTCACGATGGTGCAACAATGCACCCACGATTCTGGGGCTATTCTGTCACCTTTCTACGGTTGACATGCTGTGTTTTGAGAAGAGCTTTCAGACCTGCCATACTTGCTTGGTCGTATTCGGTCTGAGAATTGCTCAAGGTGCTCAACGCTGTATATTGTGGATCGGTCTTTTCATCTTGCGCGCTGCGAAGCATGATCTGGGCCAAGAACCAGAACTGCAAGGCGTCCTTCATGAAGCCGGCACCTCGCCATCGTCCCTCTGAGAGCTCTCCTGTCTGTTCGGACGGTGATGGTGTTCCGAAAGCTTGTCGAGTACTCCCCTGCGAGCCGAGCATCCATATGCAGTTCCAATTCCGGAGCCAATTCTGAATCGATGTGCCGCTGTGCTGGAGTCCGACTGTTGTTCGGATACAGAAAATCACAGAATGAATCGCTGTCAGATGTCCACGCATGTTAGAAAGAACTCACTCATCCAGAACGCCTCGTATCAGTGCTAAGCCACTTACCGATGATCAGAATACCCAGGTTCACATAACCGAGGTGAGTGAAGAATTGGACAGTCTCAGAGTCCATTTCGCCGCTAGTCAGGATGTTGAGGGCCTCTGCGGTTGCGAGGCGACGATCTCTCCAGAGAGGGTGCGACATCCATGTTCTCAAATGATGGAAGCAGTCGGATTTCGAACTCGCCTGAAAGCAGGCTTCGGGGCAGACTAGGCCAACGCGCAACTCGGAAGGGAGGATCCTGGGAGGCATGTTGTTCATCATGACAAAGCCACTGTCCAGGACAATGATGTAGTTTAAAGTCCTGGATGGGAAAGCTGTCAGTAATACATATCAGAGACGGTCGTGGGGACGTGCGGAACCTTATGAGTTCTTCTTTCAATGCAAACTCGTGCCAATCGAAATCAGCCAGGGTGAGAGACGCCAAATCGCCATGCATCGCGTTGCCGAAGCCAAATTCTCGAGCCATCTGGTCTCTTTTAGCTACAGTCATGGCCTGACTATTAGCAGAACATGGAACTTACCGCGACCACCTCTCCATAGCGGTGCTTTCTCACACGCCGTCTTGCTCGCTCGTCTCCTTCCCAATATTGGTAAAGACAGATGGCATGAGCCGCTTGGAGTGCCCTGAGTCGCCTGTTGAGACATGCCGCGTTCAACGCCGAATAAGGTGAGCTGTCACCGAAATACTCGTCACCAAAAATCATCTCTTCTGTCGCGTCACAAAAGACCTTGGCCCAGTGACGGTCTTCGGCGTCGACGGAATAAGTCGCCCCGATCAGAACCATTGCCGCAACCAGAGTGTATGGTGCGTCGTGGTAGACGAATGTCGCTCTGTGGACCACCGGCCAGTGCGTGTACCACGTCAGCCAGTAAAGATCTATGAAGCGCCGGATGTTGCGAGAGCTGAAGAAGCTGCTCAGGCACGTGTCCAGTGTCACACTTGGCTTCAAGCGAATGGGGCTTTTTGGAGCCCTGTGGATGATAGTCGAATTTAGTCTTGCCACTATCTCCTTTGCAACGCTGGAGAGAGGGTCTGAAGCACTTGTCTGGTTGGTCTTGTCATCACTCTGTAGTTGCTCCGGTATCATCGTACTTGACTGCCAGGGCTCCCCCAGCAGCAGAGCGTTCCCGTGCCGTGAATTGGCGTCGTCTGAGCCAAGCAACACGCTTTGCATCCAGTGTTTGCACGCAATGTCTTCGGGCATGTCTAGTATGAAATTGGGGAACTGATCAATGACTGGACTATCACTGGTTTGCAATATCTCCCTCTCCCAGGGGGCAGGAGGACGTGTAAGCTGACCGAACTGTTGGAAAATGTCGGGGTCAAACGAAGCCGCAAGTCCTCGAAGCGATGTTACTCGAACAAAGAAAGGAAGAGAGTCGTGAGTATCTTGGCTTCGGAGTTTTTCCCACGACTCTCGTTCCAGCTGCGACGACAAGATTGACTGGGTGTTTCGTAAGCTCCATGGTTGTGCGATTGAGTCGTCTTCACAGAGGATGGGATGCTCGCCATTGGAGCCACAGGCACTTTGTTGAGACGAGTCGGACCTGCGTTGTTGATCGAGTTCCGAGACAACCTGACAAACTTCAACGTGTCTCTAACGGACATCCCTGGACGAGCCACTTTCGTGAGCTAAAAATTCCAGCAGCACATATATAAAAAAAAAAAACCGGGGTACTTGGAATTGCTTGCCACACGTGCCTTCTTCTGAAAGTCTTCCCACATCTTGAACATAAAAAGGGTCTGTGACTCGTGTCTAGTGACAACCACGTCTTAGCGGCTCAATCATCGGTTCCTGTGCGACCGTCTTCCATGAGGGGCCGGCTACAACAAGGGACGGATGCAAGGGGAAACAGCACTTGTCGAGTAATGTCTGTACACAGTACTTACGCGTGACCATATGACGACGCAGGTGTTCTTTTCGGCTGAAAGTTTTCGAACAAATTGAGCAACTGCTTGCAGCAGCAGCAGCTCGCGTAGTCTCGGTCGGCAGACTCATCTCGTCGCATGGGTTACCGAGGCATATGTGATGCACATTTCCTGAAATCACAAGGCTCTGTGGAACAACAAAGCACACTTGGATGCAAATAGCACATATGTACTATGCTGGACCACTGTGGGACGCTGTGCTGAATGTCAAAAACGAGATTCGGCAAAAATCTAGATCGATTAATTATGTGATCCCGCCAAGTCCAAGATTAGTCCGGGTCCTGGTGCAAGGCACGAACGAGTCACGATTGATAATCTAGACCGAGTATGAGATACATTAAGCCTAGCCAGCGACGCCACCTCCTCGGTCCCATACCCCTTCGTTGGACCCGCCCCCGCCCCCGCCCCCCAGACAATAAACTCCCCCAGCATCCGGGGGAGTGATAGAGCCGAGTATCTCGTTGAAGTAAAGCAGTATTCAATGTCCAGCGAGATGGCTTTAAATACCTGCATTCTGCGTGGGAGAGAGGCAAGAATGGGCACCCAGAGAGCTGTCTATCGATATCCAGTACGGTACGAAGAAGAAAAAGGAGAAGAGACTGTCGAGAGTGCGCAACGAGATATTTTACAAAGGAGTTCTTCTTCTCAACAATGTCGTCCTCACAATACCCCGTCCGGAATGTGGGCATCTACCACAATTTGCCGCAGTTCGACCCCCAGTTGACTGGACTTACGGCTTTGATCACAGGGGCCAATGGCATTTCTGGCTTCAACACCCTGCGTGCGCTTCTCCAGTCGCCTCAGCGATGGTCGAGGATTTACACCCTGTCAAGACGTCCCATACCACCAGAGATGATGAAACTGCTCCCTGCGGACGTCCACAATCGAATCCACCACATTAGTTGTGATCTACTCCAGTCCGACCCCGGCGAGATTGCGACTCTTTTGAACTCTGGCCTGGAGAATGCGGATGTACGATACATCTTCTATTATGCCTATCTGCAGCCAAAGCCCGAGGACGGGAACGTCATGTGGTCGAACCACCAGCAGCTGGTGGACGTCAATGTCGGCATGCTGTCCAATTTCCTCAAGGCTTTGGGCCACACCAACATCAAACCCAAACGGTTTCTCCTCCAGAACGGGGCAAAATACTATGGCAGTCACCTCGGACGAGCTCGAACTCCCAACGTCGAATCCGATCCTCCGCCTCGACATCTGGAGCCCAATTTCTATTACCCCCAGGAAGACCTTCTCTTCGAGTACTGCGCCTCGAACAATGTCGAGTGGAACATCATTCGGCCGCCGTTCATTATCGGAACGTCGTCGACGACACAAATGAACGGGCTATACGCATTTGCCGTCTTCGCCGCTGTCGTCGCTCAGCGTGGAACTGCCCTGGCATTCCCAGGCACCTGGGAGCTGTGGCAACAGTACTGTGCACACCATGGGAGTGCCCTTCTGACAGGCTACCTCAGCGAGTGGGCCATCCTCGAAGATAAATGTCGAAATGAAGCATTCAACAGCCAGGACACCAGCCCTATCTCGTGGGACCGCATCTTCCACGAGCTTGTGAGATGGTTTGGAATCAAGAAGGGGGTGCAGCCGCCCGGCGAAGACGATTCTGGTTGGCAAGAGTTCAAGGTCGGCGGTGGCAAAGATACACCTATGGGGTACGTCTTAGTAGTACCTGTCTCCTGTCTGCTGTCTACTCAACTGGTGATTGCTCGGATTATGTCGTTACATACTGACTGAAAGCAATACTGTGATCTAGATACGGTCCACCTCAAACGACCAAGATTGCGTTTTCCATCTTGGAGTGGGCAAAGGACCCCGAGAACCACAAGGCGTGGAAAGAGATCATGCAGAGGGAAAACTTGAAGTTCGATCCATTTTTGGACGTTGAGGCCAATTTCTTGATCGCCGACGTCATGTTTGTCGTCTTTGGGCCCCTTTCCATGAACAAAGTAGGTGATCACGGTGATATAATATATATATGATATATCAACAGTGGCACCCACCCCCCACCCCCCCCCTTTTTTTTTTTCTCGGATCTGATGGTTGACTGACTACTCTCAAAAATAGGCACGCCGACTGGGATGGACAGGGTTTGTAGATACCATGGAGAGTACGTTCGAGATGTATCAGGAGATGAATGCGCTCGGAATGCTGCCAAAGATGCAGGTGCAGGAACCACGGCCCCTTGTTTGAAGTACCGTATACCACTTTGCCCAAGGCTCTCCCAAGGAGATGATTGGAATTAGAAATACAACTATGACTTCCTCAATCACAGGCAGACCGACTGGGGTTCAGCTCGATCCAAAAGAGTCGTGAATAGTGATCTACTGTACATACTCCTCCCATATCAAGTTACATTCTGACTATTCAGGGAATCTGAGTCGGTCCAGGCCGGTCAGCTATAACTTGATGTCCTCGCCCGTTTAACACCCACGAAATCTGTGAACCCGCGCTGTGAACCTTGGGTGAAGTCGTGCTCAAGATTGCACACCTACCAGCTCAGAATGGCCAAGTCATAGCTTAGGTCAAGTGACGGGATGCTCAGGCCTGTAAACGGAAGAGACTTTGGAGAGGTCAAGATTCGCCGCCCGAGTACTTTAATATTCTTATCGACTCGCAAGGTCTAATGGATCCCAGCTTTGTCAAGCGCCTGCTCGAACAGGTCCTTGCATCGAACTCGGCTGCCCAGTCGTGCACAAAGTAGGAAGGCTCCGCTCAGCTTCCGATGGAGACTGTATGTCTCTTCTGGCGGAGGTGCCAACCTTTCTCTTAGCATGACGGGGATCAGGGCCCGAACCCGGTCAGTGATGGTCTGATCCTTGAAGTCATAGACGTCCGGACTGAAGTCCATGAAAGGTTCGGCCAGAGTCATGACCGAATCGATATGGGCGTTCAACATGGCTTTTGATTCATAACCAGTGAGATAGCCCAGCTGGATGGAGAAATCTCTGCACGCGTCCCTGTCTTTTCTTGACGCCGCGATGAGGGTCTTGATGTAGAGTTGAATGAACTTCTCGGGAAATTCTCTTGACGCACCAAAGTCAAGTAATTCCAGCCTGTTTGTTTCCGAGTTGTAGAGGAAATTGGTCCAGTTGGGATCGGTCTGCATGTATCTGAACTCGGTGATCTCACGCAAACAGAGTCGTAGAATCTGTGATCCAATCCAGTCCTTCTGCTCCTGCGTAAAGTTTCGGACTCGGGTGACTGGGATCCCTCCCATTCTCTCCATGGTCAGGACTCGTTTGCCTGATGCCTCGTCAATGATCTTAGGGACGGTGAAGATATCCTGTTCATTTGCTAAGAGCTTTCGAAATCTCTTAGCGCATTCAGCCTCGCGGACGTAGTCGCACTCCCAGGCCAACTCGGTACGGGCATTGGCAATAGTTTTCTCCAAGTACAATCCTTTGGGCAGCAGACGAGAGGCAGTCAGGAGCAAAGACAAGTTGTTGAGATCAGAGGAAATCGACTCCGCCACGCCGGGATATTGCACCTTGACCGCAACTCTCCTGCCGTCTTTCAATATCGCCCCGTGAACCTGACCAATGGAGGCGGCGGCCATGGGCTTCTCGTCGAACTGCTCAAAAAACCGATCGCGCCAATTGGGACCCAAATCCGCGGCAATGACTGCGTCTCTCTGTGAGGCAGGCATGTAATCCGCACTGTCTTGGACGCGTTGCAGCACATCATGAATGGGCTTTGGGAGCAATTTGGAATCTTGGAAGCTCATCATTTGACCTAACTTGAGGGCGGCACCTCGCATTTTGGACAACTTCGCGACAAGACGTTCCATGTTTGCAGCACTCAACATCACCGAGCTATTGGGACCCCCTGAGCGACTGATACCCTCGCTGACAGCTCCAAAAGCCATCGACGCTGCGAGTCCTCCGAACTCAAATATTCGGCCCATCCTGGATGCTGGCACCTTTGATTCACGCATCTCATACGGTCGTGGAGGCTGAGGTTGTTGCGACTAGGTTATCTGTCAGTTGATCAGTCAGAATCGACCAGTGATAGGCAGGCTCAATTACATTGATCTTCTGAGCATCTTTAGCAAGCTCGGCCCCAAGTTTCTCAAGGCTTTCTGCATCCTTGTCGGAGGTCTTCTGCTGCGTAACACACTTGCTATGGAATCGTCTCGCTGAGACTCCCCCTGGCGCGTATCGTGTCTTTTGCCCGTAAGTCCTCGCATTCCTGGGGTTGCGAAATAGCCCAGATAGCTGTTCCTCCGTAGGCTCGTCTTCATCGCCTGCCTCGTGCTTA